TGTGTAAGCCCCGGATCAGATCCTATTCACATTTTCAGGCCCACCTACACATTCTCAGTCTGGTCTAGGTGAGAGAGATGTCATGTTGTACTGTTTTCTTAAAAAAGAAGTCTCTCGCGGGACCTAGGCTCAGGCTGTGGGTAGGGGGGTTTGGGTTAGGGCTAGTTCTAGACGTTGTGGGGTCATTAAAAGCTGTGTCGTCATGCAGTAAAGAACATGCAACATCAGCATAGAACACTCTGAGAAAGCATGAATGAAAGGTCATTCAGTGTGTAGATGGGCCGGGAAACATGAATTAGGCCCCACAGCAACACGTTTGCTCTGCATTTATAGAAGCCTCCTTGGATAGCAGAGAATGCCCATTATCTGCCTTGCCTTGAGGGTTGCCCTGGACATACTCTACAGGGGCACTTGTAGATAAGGGAACATAGAGAGCACCATCTACAAATATTTATGCCACATCATGTTTCAAGGTCAACCAAATCTCTAAGAAGTGGGATGTGTGGGCTGAAAAGTGCAAATATCCCAGCTTTTCTGCAAACACAACTCAACTGCATCACTCAGATGAAAGAAAATAAGAAGTGTCATCTCTCACAACTTCCTGCATGTTAAACTATCTACCAGAGTTTACAGCAGGTGAATTCGAAGAAGAAGTAATTACTTCTAGGAGTTAAACTGCACCCCTCATCCCTAGCAGATTGAAGGTATACAGTAAAATGATGCTCTGAAATTTCTGTAACTGTGTTGACCTTAAAAGGTAATTTACATCTAGATCATTTTGTCTGCGCCTTTCCGCCCAACCCATCCAATTTCTGCATATGCTTTAAAGGGACAAGGGGCACTGGAGCTTACACAAGGACTCTTATAGGTTCCATTCGTGGACCACTGCTGGGCTGTCACATGCTGATGGTTTCATGTAATTACCATCAATGCTATTTGAGGGGTCACAAATAAATATCATGTCACTTACTTGATCCTCTTCTACACTTGGGTGTTAAGGTTTGCCAGAGAGATCAGACTCCTCTATTAGCAGTTTTCTTTCTTTGTTCCATTTGAATCCTCCGTCAGTCAGGGACTGTGGGATATTGTCTTCACAGCAAACCCTAGGTTGTCATGGTGTAGAGGTTTGCCAGAGAGATCACCAGACTCCTCTATCAGCAGTTTTTTTTCTTTGTTCCATTCTAATCCTGCGTCAGTCAGGGACTGTGGGATGTTGTCTTCACTGCAAACCCTGGGTTGTCATGGTGTAGAGGTTTGCCAGAGAGATCACCAGACTCCTTTATCAGCAGTTTTCTTTCTTTGTTCTATTCTAATCCTCCGTCAGTCAGGGACTGTGGGATGTTGTCTTCACAGCAAACCCTAGGTTGTCATGGTGTAGAGGTTTGCCAGAGAGATCACCAGACTCCTCTATCAGCAGTTTTCTTTCTTTGTTCCATTTTAATCCTCCGTCAGTCAGGGACTGTGGGATGTTGTCTTCACAGCAAACCCTGGGTCGTCATGGAGGTTTGGTTCTCTTCCATTTCGCATACAAGTCCAGACCATCATAACTGTGACTGATCAACTTGTGTCTGTAAGGCTTGGATTTCAAGATCATGACATACTGTCTGGTTGCAAACTGTGTCCTTTCTTTCCACTTGGATAACTTTTCTTAGATACTTCATTTCTGAGGCAAGACGCTTGCTTCTGTGGGCTGTTGTCATCGGCCATGACCTACACCTGTAGGTCAGGACTGGCACACAGGTAGAGCTGTATACAGCCATTTTCGTCCTCTTGCCAGTTTATTTTATCGTCTTCTTCTTCTTTCGCTCGCCTGAAATAAGGAGTCTATATCAGCAGTTTTGTCTCTTGTATAAATTTCACTGTCGTTGTTAGCTCATTCAGTGGTCCATAGAGTTTACGTTCCACTGTTGTTCTTTCTGGCCAAAAGGTTTGCCTTAATGTGTCAAATTTGATGCAGTCCTGGAGTACATGCTCTGCTGTCTGGGGCACCTTTCCACAGGTGCACATGGCTGATACGCCTGTCTTGAATTTTGTGTCCATGTTGTTATGTAATCGGTTGTGCCCTGTTCTGGGGCGGAGGATGACTTGTTCTGTCTGTCCATAATAAAATAGTCGTCTTGTGCTGGGGCTAGTGGTTTCCTGATCGATTTAATAATTCTTTTCTTTTGGTGGTATGTGACTGGTACATCCGGCTGCACTTTTGTCACACCTTTCCCTGCCAGTTGATCAGCTTTCTCATTTCCAGGCACTCCACAATGAGACGGTATCTAAAGCATTACGACTCTTTGCTGAAGGCTGAGTTGTGTCAGCAGTGATTGCAATTCTGGTAGTTTCCTAGACTGCAGCGCTTCAAGTACTGATTTAGCAGTTTATTTTATGAATATATAAGGATTTGGTTTTTGGGGGGGGGGGGGGGGGGGGGGGGGGGGGGGGGATTTGTCGAAGAAGAGGAGGGCAAAAAAAAAAGGAAGAACCTGGAATGAAAACATCAAGGAATGGACAGGACTGAGTTATCATACACTTATTCATCAAGCAGAAGACAGAGATAGATGGCGGATTTTTTGTGCCAGTGATTCCATCAATACACCTCCATGACCCTAAGGGGTCAAGGTTTATGTTATAAGGATCTGATTTTTTTATTAAAATATAATTCCACACATGTAAAATAAGGGACAGATGCAATGCAAGATAATTATAATGCTGTAGAAAGAGGGAGGAAAGGGGAGAAATGTAATTCCACCACAGAAAACATTCATAAAAATCCACAAATTTCAAGAAAAGATACAATCAAATGATATATCTGATGTAATAAATTTGAACTGGTAAGGCTCAAATAATAACTGGACTGTCAGTTTTGAAGGCTTGTCCTATTATGCCTGTTAACTCCACAGGTTAGAAAGTGCTTTTTTAGACAGGCCAGATGTGTGGATAACATACACTGTCTCTGTCTGCTATCTTGCTAATCCATTACTGTCTAGCCTTTTGTTTTGCTTCTCTTTCTTGATATAATCGCTGTTATATTACACTGGTGATCATGTCTCTCCACAGCCTTCTGTTACAGCCAATCATTCCTGATAACAATGTTCTTCCACACCTTGAAATTCTCTCTCATCTTCTTCTTCCCTTCTCGTTCACCGGTTGTAAACTCAGGTGGAAAGTTCTGGTTGTCGTCCACTTTTGGACTGCAGTCCTGTTCCAGAACCTGAGTGTTGCATGTGCATCCGTTTGACAGATCTGTATGCAGACTGTTAGTTCCTTGCCTCTCAGGCAGATGCACTCCAATTTCGAAGGAAGCTCCTAATTAGTCGAATCTTACGACATGCTTTTGGGTAGGCAGTGGGTCTATTCTTGTTTTTTCCCCATAGTAGGGCCCCGGAACCCACACGGGAAATCCTCTCTCATGATATCTCACATTCTTCTCTCCATACAACTGATCCACTGTCTTGACATGCTCCAGCTTTCATCTTCTTATGGCATGCAGAATGTTGACTGTATTCATCTGATGCAGGCAATCGATTCTCTTTGCTAACTGATTGTTTTTCACAATTTCATTTTCACATTTTCTATTTTATGTTGTAAAGATGTATCTATAACACTGCTGCAGCTTCCAGACAATTTATCATTAACTTGTTTTTCCACTCTCTTCTCCAGATTACCCCACAATGGAGCATTGGTCCTCAAACAACTCATCCTGTAAACTCAGGCAGAAAGTTCTGGTTGTTCATTCTTTTCTGGACTCCAATCTTTTTTTTATTATTATTATAGAATTTGAGTTCTGAGTGCAGAAAATGCAGCTTCAGTTTTTCAGATGTGGCATATTTGAATGCAGACTGCTGGTTCCCTGCCTCTCAGGCAGATGCACTCTGACTTCAAATGAAACACCCACAGCTAGTTGCATTGTACAAAATGCTTGTTAGGGAGCCAGCGGGTTTATTCCATGCCCCCCCTTTCCCCAAGAAAAGGGCTCTGCATCCCACACAAGGAATGCCCTTATCTTTTTCCCCACACAAGGAATGCTCTTTCAATCTTTTTCCCCACACAAGGAATGCCCTTTCAATCTTTTCCCCCCTACAAGGAATGCCCTTTCAATCGTTTTCCCCCACAAGGAATGCCCTTTCAATCGTTTTCCCCCACAAGGAATGCCCTTTCAATCTTTTCCCCCACACAAGGAATGCCCTTTCAATCGTTTTCCCCCACAAGGAATGCCCTTTCAATCGTTTTCCCCACACAAGGAATGCCCTTTCAATCTTTTCCCCCACACAAGGAATGCCCTTTCAATCTTTTTTTCCATCCCATTTTGTACTTTTTTTTCTTCCCATGTTTTCTGGTCTGCCATTCATCCAACCAAGTGGTTTTCAGTGCAAGGACATTTTTGGTATGTTTTCAATATGTGCCCTATCCAACACCAGCATCTTTTCTCTTTATTCACTGGAATTTGTTTAGATGTTTTTCCTTTATTGTATGTAAATGTCAAAACTGTGTGAGAGAGAGTCTTGTCACAAAAATGAACCATCGCACACGCTTGTTTCAGATAATATTTGTTGAAAACATTGAGGCCAGCTGATGCCTGATGCTATCATTTCATAACAGATCCTCTTCAGGAACTCTATAGTTTTATAGTCTCAATGTTCCCCATGTGTGTTATGGGGCTCCATTTAGGGGCCGGAAAGGGGGAACATCTCCTTAACACTTAAGAGTCCCAAGGAAACGCATCGTACATTTATAGGTTCCCATACAGAAGCCCAATGAATGCAAGATTTTACGTCTCTTTTGACTACCCCTAGGGCCTCTGATGCTAAACCCCCTAAGACTCAAAGAGTTAATAAGCATGCCATAAATGGCGACTAATTAAGTATTTGTTGAAACCGGAAAGGCTGGATCAAAAGTTGCAGGTATCGCAGCCTAGTTATAAACCATTCCACAAAGTGCCAGCTGCCCCCTTTAGGGGCGAGCAAATAAAGAAGGAGAAGTCTCAGTATGAACTGATATTGGTGACCTTGTCAATGATCGCACAGAGATGATGTAATATTTATCTTGCACTTCCTCTGCCTTTGTGGCCTGTTGGCTTCATTGTTAACAGTCCATGGACCTAGACTGTCGCTAGCATAGTAATCCATGGGGTAAGTTGACTGCCAGTTGGTAACTTTGAGAGCAACATTCAACTGCAGAAAGTAAGAAATGAATTTGCTGTTTGTTTAAAAAAAATTTTAAATCTTTAATAAACTAAATGGAATTAACAACACTAAAGTTTAGAACAAGGTCCTTCTCCCACGCCTTCAGGCGTATTGGGCATATACAGCTAGACGATATTTTATAGACCAATCGGCCTCAGTTGTTTATGAGGTCAACACCACACTAGCGGCCTTTACTTCTCAGAACTTAACTGGCACCCACTCAAGGCTGGGTCGATCTGGGAGCCAAGGTAATTTTGTGTGTGTGTTAAACTCCATCTTTGATTGATTCGAACCCACAACTTTTGTATCAGCAAGTGAGTATCTAGCTGCTATACTACAGCGGCTCCCAATTAACTATAGTGAAGCTGTTAAAAAGTGAAGAAGCTGTAGATACAAATTATGAACTTGAAGAAAAAAAAACAACTGAAAGTGCTAATGTAAACTACATCTCAATATAAGAACATATTCATCATCATCATGTAGCAGGTACTCAGCAGAAAGTCATTCTTATAACGAAACCACAGTCCCCGCCAACTTTCTTCCCAGGGCAGCCTGGATATCTACCGCTGTGCTGTTTGACCGCCTTCTTTTCACAGGAATCATAAACTCTATCATTCGGTGTGGGTTCCAGGGCCTTAATGTAGGGGGGAAAAGAATGAGCCCAATGCCCCCTAAAAAGCTTACTTCTTCGAAGTAAGAGTGCATCTTCACGAATACTCAGCTCATAACATGTCTGCAATCATTTTCTCATTTGTGTCTGTTCCAGTGGTTCTCAACCTGTGGGTAACGACTCCTTTAAGGTTCGAATGACCCTTTTACAGGGGTTGCCAAAGGCCATCGGAAAACACATATTCCTGAAGTTATGAAGTAACAAGGAAAACAGTTTTATAATTGAGGGTCACCACAACATGAGGAACAGAATTAAAGAGTTGCATCATTAGAAAGAATGAGAACCACTGGTCTATTCCATTCCTAATCTTCCACAGCGATGTGATCTATGGCATCTAGTTCTCATGAATCCATTTCAGTACCTGTATCATTCATGTCCCTACATCTAACTGATCTCTAAAAGCACTGCCTATGATGCTAGACACATAGACAAATCAGCCCTCGATGGGCAATGTGGCAAACATCCCAGAGGGCCACCTTTACTACCCAGGACATCTTGTGGTACCCATTTTAGACAAGGTCGACCTGGGAGCTCTTGATCAATTTGATAAAATCTGTCTTGATGAGGATTAAAACCCAAGATCTTTGGACTGTCAGGCATGCATCCAGACCAGTGGTTTTTAACCTGGAAGGCTATGAAGGGCGGAGGAAATGAAGTTTCAGGAGAGGGGAGGGGAAAAGCAATTTTGAAATTGAGTCCTCTCCTACTTGTAGTAATTTGTTATACTAACAATTTTTCCCCAGTTTAATCATTAAAAAAATACTTTTTTACAACTATTTCTAAAACAAAAAGCCAAGGATGTTTTTTATTTTTATGAGCACTTTGTAAATCTACGGTTAAAAATCGAAAACTATTTCACTTTTTTTTCTGCAAGTTTTATTTTAAAAGTGCAAGCATTTTTCTTGTCCACTTTTTTATCAAAATATTTGTTAAGTTTGTGTGTGTGTGTGTGTGTGGGGGGGGGGGGGGGGGGGCATAGATATATGGCCTCACAGCTGAAAGATGTTACTGGGACCTCTCCACGGGTGTTCCTCATCTGCATGGTGGCACTTTGTGTCACCGGACATTTATCGCTTATGTGATGTTCTGGTGGGGCACAACTACCCACATACCTAAAGATAACTTACCTCATATGGAGTTAGCAAAGGCTTTCTGAATGCAGTGCCCCAGTCTATCGATAATCTGGGACAGGCTACTTGCACCCATCTGGAAACAGATTTTAAAAAAAATGTAAAATAATTTTTATAACAAAACGGATAAAACATAACAATAGTTTATATAACTAGCATACTGATACACAAAAAAAAAAAAAAAAAACTCCCATATGAGGGCCCCATGGTATTATTTTTAGGCCACAAAAAAAAAAAAAGAGAGAGCTACCCCCCCCCCCCCCCCCAAAAAAAAACATTTTATAATCAGGGGTTTACTGAAAGGGAAGCATTGAGCCGAAAGGTATAGATATCACTGCCTAGCTGTAAATCTCAACACAAAGTTCTAATTCCACTTTCAAGCGTAAATGCAGAAAAAGAAGGATAACAATATATATATTTTTTTTAAACAAGCTTACACATTAATGTTAGTAATCTCTTTATGTCGGTTCTGGGGCCGCAATATACAGATGAAAAAGGAACCGACCCACTGCCTCTTTCAAAAGTGGTGAAAATAGGTGTGTCTGCAGTCAAGCTAATACCAAGAAAATTATCCAGTGAACTGTGAATAAAAGCGTTTAATGAAATTGAGAAGCAGAACAACGGGCACAAAACAATTTGTGTTTTATGCATGTTAAACTTTTTAGTCACGGTTCACTGGATTAATTTCTTGCCCCTGAAAAAGCATGTCATAAAAGTTGATTACTAATTATGGGTGCTCCATTTGAAGTTGAACTGTATGTGCCGGAGAAGCAAGGAACCAACAGTCTGCTTAAAAAAAAAAAAAACAAGATCTGTGAAACAGACGTGCGTGCAAAATTCAAGGTCTGTAACAAAAGTTGAGAAGTAAACAAGCATAACTTTCCAAGGGAGCTGACAACCAGTGAACTCAAAGAAAAAGTATAATTAATGATTTTAAAAAAATACCCCAAGATTCTACTTAAAACAATGTGTGAATTTGGCTACCGGGGAGCTGAAGTAGCAAAGCAGCTTAATGTTTGCTAGGTAGTCCAAAGGTTTTCGGATTGGCCTGGCCATTGAGTTAACTGTATGTGTCGATTCTTCACCACCAGAAATACGGTTGACATATTTCGCTTCTGGGGACAGCTTTTATCGTGTTTACTCTCTAGACAGTTGCAGTCCCTTGCTGATGAGATTCTGTCTTCCCGAGTGGACCGTCGCGATCAAAACAGTGCGAAGGCAGCGTGGTCGAGGCTGCCAAAACTATTGGTCATTATCCCGCCCTGAAATAGCACAACCATAATAGACGCTGCTTCCACGAAAAACATATAGTATCCTGCGTTGGAAATGTGCACAAAATAGCAGTCTATGATTAAAAAACAGAACAATCTGAGAGAATTGACAGTCAGTGAAAATAAACACCGCTGCTATCGACCATTTTGAAAACGGAACCGTTTTGGGTTTGAATCAGGCAACATTTAAAAAATAATTTGCTTTATCTACTAGGTCGACAAACCCTAAATTGGTACCAGGAAATGCCGTGGGAAGTAAAGGTGGGCCAGAAGTGTTGTTAGCCTCACCCATCAAGTGCTAATGGGCGCATAAAAATATATAACCTGCACATTAAGCCTACATTCTAAATCATTGGAACACTGATGAGAACTGGCTCATTAACAGCATCCTGTCCCAAAAGCTGAGGTATTCTGGACATGCTAAACATCAGGGTGGGCTGGACCAAATGCTGATGGAGGGTATAGCCTCTGGAAAACAAGGCAGTGGCCGACAACCGCAAAGGTGAATACAAGACATTGAAAATGCATTGGCTATTACTAGATGCTCGGTCTCAATCGTCATAGTCCTGCATTGCCCTAAAAATAGACAGTTTAACATTCTGTTTCACATTCACCAGCAGTAAACTCTGGCAGAATGATCTGGTTGTTCACCCACCTCTGGACTTCAGTTCAAGAACCTGAGTGTTGCATGCCCATCCATTTTACAAATCTGACTTATCTGTATGCAGACTGTTGGTTCCTTGCCGCTCAGGCAGATGCACTCCAACTCTGAGGGAAGCCACCAATTATCACAATATGCTTTTGGGGGAAGGCAGTGGTTTTATTCTTGTTCTCCCTACAATGAGGCCCTGGAATCCAAACAGGGAATTGAACATTCTAAATATAACAGAAGAGATGACCTACGCTTCCACACTGTCCATTAACTTGAGTTTATCGGGGAAAATCTCTGACAGCAGCACTATCAAATAGTCTCTGCCAGAAGCTTTAATCTGGGACGTCAGAGTCTACAAGGAAAAGTAACAAAATTAAACAATTATAAAAAACATGTCAACAATAATGTGCAGTTATAAAATATTATTCTTTACAATACTGTTTTTAAAAAAAAAGTGTCAACATTTCCAAACAACATTTTTTTCTCTAAACTATAATGCAAAAAAAAAAAAAAAAAAGGAAAATGTAGCAAATAAAAAAAGTGACAACAATAAAATACAAATATAACACTTTATTCTAAACTACACTATTTAAAAAAAATGCATAGTTATCTAATGGTGTTCACGTAAACAAAAACACAACAACAAATGCATAGCTACTAAAAGTAACCTAATTTTGTCATAATTTTGCCATTCAAAATCTTTGTAACTTTTGAGCAAAAATAGTTTAAATTGCACAAAATACCATAGGAATCAACTAATCAAAAGATAGTTCTGCTACATTTGGGTCATCGATAGTTTTTAGGCGTAGAGGCTTTTGCATGCGGTGGGCAGCAGATTTATTCTTTTTTTTCCTCAGACTGGCAACCCAGAACAGCAGCGATGACCAGAAGTTCAAAAACCCTGATTTCCTAGTTTTTCCCCCCTTTCAGAGTAATCTTCACTTAAGCACACACAATTCATCTTCTTCAAGTCCATGCTATGTGGTGTTGGTAGCCATGTCTGTCCACAACCTTCTGTCTCATCTATTTTTAATCAACTCTGACAAAGATGATCCTCCATGCCATGATGTCAAGTTGTCCAGCATCTGCTCTCTCGGTCTCCCTCTGCCTCTCCTCCAACTTTCCTACTGTCACTATGTGCTCTAGTTTTTCTCCTTCTCATCACATGACCAAAAAATTTAGATTGCCTCTTTCTGATGTGGGCAATCAATTCTCTTCGTGAATCAGCACACACAATTATAAACACATAATTAAATTTCTCTTCGTGAATCAGCACACACAATTATAAACACATAATTGAATTATACCATACCTCCAACACTTTGGGAGACCCTTGCCTCCCCAAAGTGCCCAAAATAATGCCCACCATCTTTGCCTTAGAAGCAACAGCTATGGCCTCTTGCCGAGCCTGGTGCATTCTTTGAATGTCATAATATTCTCTTGTGAACACTTTACTGTATGGATCATACCTAGGAAAAGAAACAAGACATATTTGAAACTCTGGTTAAAAAGAAAAATGACAAGAATCAGTGTTGCTTACAGTGCTTGCTAACTGAAACTAAGTCAAAATTGAAGAAGTTGAAAATCTTCTTACTGTATCTCACTAAAATTACTAGATTACTATTATGAGAAATGCAATCAGTAATGAGGCCCCTGACAGCTTTGATCCCTCCACATTTGGAGGCAAACCTATCCCAGAATTCAGATGATATAGTTGTTCTTTCCAACAGTGTAGCACAAAATCCTGGGCAGTACTGTAAAAACCATGTGTTGCTAATGCAGCAAGATCCCTTCCTCAGACTGCTTTGTTAACTCCACAGTAAAGGTAACACCACTTAGTCTGGACCAATGCATGCTGCAGAAGAGCACTCCTCTGTAGACCTGTCCGAGCTTCACTTTCAGACCAGCTGCCACTGAAGGCTATGGGCACGGTTTGCCCTGCCATAACATTACATTTTCATGTTGCATTTCTTTATGCTAGGGAAAGGCTATTGTGAAAGTAAACAATGCAGTTTAAGCAGTATTTTCCCATTAAAATTATTTCCTGTTGTAAAATAAAAATAAAACAATATTGTTACCTATATGCCGGTAGATGTGGATTGTGGATCATTATGGATTCTAAGTGAAATCTGCCATCTCCCAGGTAGCTATGAAAAAATATTTCGGTCAACATTTTTTAACAAATAAACAATGAAAACAGACATTTATGGTTAACAAAAGTTAAAAATATTATCAACGAGAAATTTTTTGACCAGTGGTGGACAAGAAAGATGGCAGACTCAACAGAGAGATAGACCAAGAAAGAGATGGATAAATGGTGTAGTCGAAACCTGCAAAAAGATTAAATCCATCACCCAAGCCACCCGAGAAGCACAAAACAAAAATGGAAAACCACGACACAGGGCTACAGCCTGGTATCAGTGAAACGACAAAAGAAGAAGAAGAAAACGATGGTGGACCAGGACTTATCAAGACCTATCTCTATCTCACTGTGGACATCCTAGAAACAGGTTCCCCATCAAGGGCCTGGTCGGTGTAGATAGAATAATTTTCTTAGAAGTTAAAGTGCATCTGCCAGAGGGGCAAAGAACCAACAGACTGCACACAATAAGCCACATTTGAAAAATGGATGTGCACACAACACTCAAAACCTGGAACAAAACCGAAGTCCAGGCATAAACAAGGAAACAGTACTTTCTTCCTGAGTTCACAGCCAGTGACCACAGAAGAGGTAGAGCACATGCAGTGTCTGTTTGGTGGATTTATAAAAGTATATAAGGTAGAGACTGTAAATGCACAGAATGAGCAACAGGGTCGCCCAATGGCTGGCCTGTAGGTGACTTTGTCGCCGGTCAGGACAGTATTTGGGTCTGTCTCCTTTGATTGCATCAACACTGCAGTAGTTCTTTTCAGGGCTCTTAGTGGCGTGCATTGTTACGCCATTTTAGATGGCGCAAATAACCTAGTCACAATTATAACCTAAAGCTGCCCCTTCAGGAATGCTGGTTAAACGTGATTTTTTTTCCCCAGCAAAGCACAATAGATGGAATATAAAGATACAGGGAAAAACAACGATCGCAGAAAGGTTGAGAGCTGACCATCTGAGAAGAAGCGTACTAAATATATGTAATGGCAGCAATGGACCTGAAATATAATGCTCTAATTGTGGAAGACTTTTCTTAATGTGGGTGGGTATTGGTAGTCCCAGTCACCATCAGCATGGGCTATGATCCCCATGCCTCTCCACACAATACAGCACAACTGTCTGGAAAGATGCCAATAACAAGGTCAAGACTGCTTCTCTTTCTCGCTGAAACACAAGTGCACAGCCATTTTACAGATCTGACTTATTTGTATGCAGACTGTTTGTTCCTCCTGTTAGGAGGGCAGTGTGTCTATTCCCCCCCCCCCCCCAATAGGATGATTTCTGGACACACACACATCATTATTAAGTGCCATGTTGACTGACGAGGGCAATCATGCTTCTCCACACCACTCCATGCCATGACAAAAAGCTGTCAAGAATCTTAACATGCAGTCTTCCTCTGTCTCTCTTTCCACAAATCTTTCCAGTTGTCACAACATGTTCCATTTTCCCCTCTTCTCATAACATGACAACAACAAAATTATGACTGCCACTGACATGTACACAAAATACTGCTGAATGTAATAAATGTTCGTTCTAATGTTCATACACAATGGCATCAGTGTCAGCCAGTCTTGGGGAGGTACAGCCTAGGATTTCACCTGGAGACAATGGTTTGCTCTGTGGTGTTGTGACAGTCAAGTGTGGACTCAGGAACTGCTTAGCTCCCTGTGATAATAGAGGCAAACAATTACCTTCTTCTGTACCAAACATCAGAAAGAGACAATCTACATTTTATGGTCATGTGATGAGAAGGAGAACTGGAGTACATTGTGACAGTAGGAACGTTGGAGGGGACAAGAGGCAGAGGAAGATCGAGAGAGATGGTACTGGATAGTTTGACATCATGGCATGGAGGATCATCTGTGTCAGAGATGAATGAAAGTACATGAGACAGAAGGTTGTGGATAGACATGACTATTAACACTACAAGGCATGGATTTTAGGAAGTACCAAACTAGTGACCATATGTTTCTAGGTGTTTCTATAGATAATATAATTCTCTTGCTGTTCTCTATCACAGACAGTTGGTATATGGATGTAATTATTACAGTTTTAATGTAACAATAGAGACTTTGTCCTAGTAAAATAAACAGCTAAAATTGAAGAAGTTGAAAATCTTTTTACTGTATTTTACTATTATGAGAAATGCAATTAGTAATGAGGCCCATTACTGACTGATTGTCTCCGTACACTGTGCTGAGTTTCTTCGTTGAGTTAGAAAAAGAATGGAGTATAAATAATATTAGAATGATCCATAGGCTGACCGTCAGAGGAATTGTTAATCAATGTAGAACTGGTACATTTTCTTGCCTGAACTGTTCATTCAGTGCGCACCAGTGGCATCCATATTCCAAATGACCATTCGGCAACAGGTCTCTCATTCTAGCCGATGATCTTAACTAAGGCTTTAAAAAAAAATATTTTAGCTAGGGTTTAAATTTTGGGCTTATATCTGGGATAGGTTTTATTGAAAGGAACCACGGTCGTACTCATTTCATAATAATCTCAAAGACAACACTGATACACTGTAGCCAACCTTCAATGCGGAGGAGAGGCACATATATTTGTAATCTTACCATGTTTCACTGAAAATAAGACTGGGTCTTGTATTAATTTGGGCTTCAAAAATGCATTAGGGTGTCCAGGTTAGGTTTAATCTTTTTTTTTTTTTTCAGATGCAAAATCCACTGATTCATGTAAAACATACTACATTTATTCAAATACAGTCATGTCGTCTTCAAAAACACTGTCATAACTCTCCAAATCCAGAATTATGGCTCGAATTTCTGTCCACTAACAAGTTTGCACCAGTGGCGTCTGTATTCCAACTGCCAATTCAGCATCTAGTCTTTCATTATAGCTAACGATCTTAACTAGGGCTTACTTGTGAGGTATGGCTTATATTAAAAACATTCTGAAAATTATGCTGGGGCTCATGTTTGGGGTAGTTTTTTTTATGGGGGGGGGGGGGGGGGGGGGGGCGCGCACAGCAGTACTCACCTGCAAGGCAGCAACAAACTGAATTGTGCTAACAAGAGCAAGTCTGGTCCCGGGGTCAAAGTTGAACTTGAGCGTCTCAATAAAATGAACAGTATCAATTTTTATGTCTACAAACACATACAACATCTGAATGCCTTCGGTCTGGTCAATAGGAACTGCAATAAAGACAAACAAACAAAAACAAATTATGTTTTTTCAACAAACATAATGTTTTTCCATAAATGTTTTTTTAACAAATAAACAAAACATAATGTTTTCCCAACAAACAAAATGCCCCCCCCCCCCCCAAAACATAATACTTCCATCCACCACATGTTTTCCTAACAAAAAACATAATGTTTTCCCAACAAACAAAAAGCCCCCCCCCCCCCCCCCCCCACATAATACTTCAATCCACCACATGTTTTCCTAACAAAAAACATGTTTTCCCAACAAACAAAATGTCCCCCCCCCCCCCAAATGTTTTTCCAGACCCACAAAAGATAACCTGAGAAGTAAAGGTGACCAGTGTATTATTACATAACTTATCAAGTGCTGACTGGTCTTCACAAATATGGGTCTAGCACCATATGCCTGTTCTGTGGATGGCTTGAAAAAGATCCTTCACTTTGGTAAAAGTTAAAAAAAAAATTATAGCAGGGTCCTTTTCAGAAGGTCGCTCTGATCAGTCTTCCTGAAAGAAATGTGGCCTCTCGCTAGCTCTCCTGCCCAAGATGTCATGTATATCCTTTGCCCATCTTTGTGCTGGTCAGCCACTGCCTCCCTCTCTTTCTTGGTACCATGCCTTCTGCTATTATTTTTTCCATTTTGCTGTGGTGCTTGATACGGCCATAATATTTGAGTTTATGCATAAATCACCTGCAGTTGTTATCGAGCCCGGCACCGTAGCATTATGAAATGAGTTCACAACACCTAAGCCACAGAGGCTTAATACACACAATAAATATACCCTGACCGGGGCCTTCGCAGGAAGCAAAAAACAGTACCATTGGACACTTCTGAACTGATTTATGACAAGTTATACATTGTGAGGGCCCTTAGGGAGCGAGTGAATAGTGCGGAGGTGCAGATAGATCATTACGGTCTAAGGAGAATGGCGCTGCAAGGAGTTCCCAGGGGATCTGGCTTATGCTCAATACTCAGGGAAAAGATGAGACGGACATACAGTCAGATAGCTACTGGTACCATCGGAACTGGAACCCTTCACTTGCTGCCGAATATGGGGGACTGAGCACTTATGGGAGTGTCCTGAGTGCTGTGATGTTGATTCTTATTTCAACATTCAACTATCAGGCATGATGTTGGCTACTTTATCCAATTTTTTTTTCAAAAGCCATAAAAAACTGATCGACCACAAGGAAAAGTAAAAAAAAGAAGTTAAAAAGACAGGGAGGATATGGGGTGAGCTGCATGCAATAGCAAAAGAATATGACAACTTAGCATTTTGGTTGAGAGTCTACACACCACTGAAGGATAAAGGGCACGAAAGAAGAAGACAGTTCACAATTGTAATAAGGAAGCCCTAACTTGCAAAAATGCCATAAAATGGCACGCTAGCGAACATAAAATTACCAAGTAATACGTAGGCTTTTTTTTTTCCAGTGGCACACAATGCTATGCAGTCATCATCATGTAGCAGGTCCTTTAAAGAACATCGCTCTCATCACTGCCTGCCTAAAAGAAACTCGGTCTCTCGCCAGTTCTCCCGCCTCATGTACTTTCATACTCAAGGAGTCACTTATATCCTGTGCCCATCTTCGTGTCGGTCGGCCCCTGCCCCCTCCTTCCTGGTACCATGCCTTCTGCTATAATTTTTCCATTATCTGCTTTGCAGTGCCGGCAGCTTTTATCTAGGCATCTTTTTTTTTTACAGCATTACATAACAGAAAGTACCAGCACGTTTTTAATAGAGATGCTTTACACTGAGTACCGGCACCTTTTTTGAAGATGCTGTATAGTGAATACCACTACTTTTTTTATTCTTAGAAAAATAGACCTTCAACAGCCAAAAAATACGACGGTTTGTTTATGACACTGTGTCTTCTCTTCTGTCTTCTAACCCTCAATGGAGTATAGGCCCTCACAAACTCATGCCAGGTTGCCTTTTCTATCCTTTGCTATTGCATGCAGCTCCCCCCACGTTTTTAAATTTACTCTATAGCTCCCTTCTCCATGTGTTTTTTGTCTGCCTTTATTTCTATGCTCCTGTGGGTTCCAGTGCAGAGAATTCTAGTTATACTGTTATGAGGTTTCTCAATATGTGACCTATCCAACACCAGCGTCTTTCGTTCACCTCTTGGTCCACTGAAACTTGTTTAGTTCTCTCCCAAAGCTCTACATTCGTGATTGTATCTTACCATTTAATTCCCTCTATTCTGCACAGGCACCAGTTAATTAATGTTTGCAGTCTTTTTTTTTTTGTAATTTCCTCAGTTGTTCTCCATGATTCTGCTCCATTTAACAGTACAGATTTGACTTTAGAATTAATAATTTTAAGTTTCGTATTAGTTTTAATTCTTTTGACCTCCACAAATTTCCTAGTGCTCTGAAAACTTCTCTTGACCTTTGTATTCATATTTTAATATCTCTATCAGTTTCCCAATCTTTATCTACATTAGTGTCCATATAGGTAAAAGGTGCTACTCCACGGGTTGGAGTGGAATACCATGAAGAGAAACCAGATTACTATTTGCCTGATTTATTCTCATTATCTTTTCCTTTGGGAAAGACATGAGAGAAACCAGATTACTATTTGCCTGATTTATTCTCATTATCTTTTCCTCTGGGAAAGACAAAGTGACACCCTGCAAAGGATACACAAAGAATTGATAAAAAACCTTTGAACAGTAAAGTGACGGAGTAATAACACATCTTACTAAGACAGCTGTGGCCATAATGAACCATCAGATCTGCTCCGAGTGCCTTGGCTGTGAAGTCATCCACACAACAAGCACCGTAGGTCACATCTCCCATGATGACTGTGTCCGCCTCAGTGAACCTTAAAAAAACAATCGGTTCTTTAATTTTAGACCACCCCCATCTCATCGGCTTCAAGATTTTGTAGGGAATTCCTTGGACAGTACCATATTATTGGGGGGGGGGGGGTTAGGGTTAGTGTTAGATGATTAGCGACTACTACTAAGATGGATCTGCATGCAAAACTCAAGTTTTGGAACAAGACCAAAGTCCAAAAAGTGGACGAACAACCAGATCTTTTTACCTGAGTTTACAGCTAGTGAACACAAAGAAGAAGAAGAAGAATCACAGATTTCAGACAGTAGTATGAGATTCATGCCAGGAAACAGAGATTGGGACTTCATCAAATAATAATCTGCCTTTCTTCTTCTTTGAGTTCACCAGTTGTGATTCCGGCACAAAATTATGGTTGTTCGTCCACTTGTAGACTTTTATCTTGTTCCAGAACCTGAGACTTGCATACACATCTGGCTAATTTGTACACAGGCTGTTGTTTTCTCGCCTCTCAGGAAACACCCCCTCTCCTCCAATTGTTATCTCATCATTATGTAGCAGCCCCTTTGCAGAAGGTTGCTCTCATCACAGTCTCCTGAAAGAAGCTCAGTCTCTCGCCAGCTCTCCCACCTGCTGCACTTTCATATCCAAAAAGTGACTTATACATTATGCTCATCTTCATGTTGGTCAGCCCCTGCCCCTTGTTATCCACCTTACAGAATAAATAAGTGTATGACCCTACACCCTTGAGTGAGATTTCACTTAGCGAGAATGAATTACTCTCCTAAGTTTATTCTCATTCTTTTAACCTTTCCTCTATAGATAGATGTTTAGAGTTAATTGATCTCATCCATGAGCAACATTTGATTTATCCGGCAACTGATTTTGTGAAATGCATAGAAGGGTAATGTCACTGGTGAAGTTTATATGGTTAATTTATCCTGTATGATTTTGTAAAAAAGACAATGTAATGTAATTGGTGAAGTTTAGATCCCAAAGCTTTTTTTGTCAGGGTCCACTGAATTCCATTTCCAGGGGTAGCTGTTGGTAGGAGAGCTGTCGTGTATTAGCTAGACGCTCCCCTTCAGATCGGAAGGTCATGGGTTCAAATCCAGACAGTACTATATTTTTCCCCCGGCTCCCAGGTCAACCCAGCCTTAAATGGGTGTCAGGTAAAGTCCTGGGACATAATGCTGATCACATCACCTACCAAGTGCAGATTGATCTACAAAATAAACCTCTAGCCCTATATGCTCAACACGTACAAAGGTGTACAACAAAGGTCTTTTTCTTTAATTTACTGCATATAGTATCACCTTTTAGGATGATGTAAGATGGGGGAAGGTGTCCCTTATTTTGAGGATTTGGGGCTGCATGGATAATGCAGCTGCCACAAACTGTGCAGGTTAGGATGTTTATCCATCACTTACAGAGGAAGTCTCCGACATGACAGCTTAGAGTTCTAGCTACTTAGACAGTCGCCCTTCTTTGTTATCCAGTCTATAATAATCTGTTGTGCTTCGACCCAAAAAAAAAAATATTGAATGGGTTGACAGCATCTTGAAGTCCCGCCTCAAGAAACTATTTTGGCTGTAAATATTGGGACACTCCTAGTAAAAGGAAATGAAAGAGCCAATAGACTGGCTGTTTCTGCAGTGGTTGGTGGAGGAAAAAGTATGGACAGAGCAGACATAGTGAATGTGCTGCATTCTACAGAGTTTAAGACAAAGGAGTCAGAGACAATGAACTGCCTGTTGGAAATGGAAGTTGGTTACGGGGTAAAGAAAGAAGAAATGCCAATCAATTCCTTCTGGGTGTGTTGAGCATGGAGGCAGTGAGATGGCTGCTGCATCGGAGGACAGAGCACAAATGGTCAGACCGATGAAATAGGATGTCGATACAAACAAGTAAGACTGAACAATATGAATATATCACCTCTCAATAATATCAGCTATAACACATGCAAACAGAAGCAGGCCTTCAGGAAACTGCAGTGCCACCCTCTTGGATTTTGTCTGTCTTATCTTCCAAATTGTTTTGTGAATTTCAAAGTTGTAGTTCTCTGGAAGCTGTAAAACACAAATGATGTGTACTTCTCCACATAAATACACATTAAATATTATCATTTTTATGGTTCCAGAAGTATATGTGTGAAGGTGTTTAAATATACTAAGCCACACAATGATGCAGGAAAACACTGAGTAGAAATATTTTTTAAATGTTATAATAGGGGGCTGCGTGGTCTCGAGGTATGGTGTCTGCCTCGAGTGCTAGAGGTCCTGGGTTCAAGCTCCGGTGAGGACTAGAATTTTTTCGCGCGGACTTCTAGTAATTTCCTCCTGGTTTCTGGGTAGTAAGACCAGACACCCGTTTGCATTGTTGCGCACATAACAAATCTCTTGGCAGTTGGAAATCATAAAGAGAGTAGCTTAACAGTGCTTCCAGGACAAAATTTTGAGTTAAAAATCTACCAAAAGTATTTCAGGATCCTCACCGGTGAAACAGAGTTCATGCACTGCGCTGAGATTCTTCTGACTTAGGCTTGAGTTTGAAGAAAAACGGAGCACTTATCGGTTACACCCTTGTGCCATGATGTTGATCGTTAAATAAACATTAATAACATTTTTTTTTAAACCACAGCAATATGATCTGTGATGGTATTTATACTAAAATATGACATTATGATAAATGGTGAAAAATATATACATTACATCTGATGGTGTGTCAAATTATACTAACAAGTAGCAATATGATTCAGGGTTGCAGCTCCTTGTCTCATTAATATTTTCCCTCTTTGACTATTTCTATTTAATATCAAGAAATGAAAAGAATAAAATACTATGAATTCAACTAAAATATTGTGAACCCAACTGCAATATTGTGAATTTCATTGAAACACTGTGAATCCAACTCAAATACAGTGAGCCAATTAAAATATTTTGCATCCAACTGAAATATTGTGAATCCAATTGAAATATTGTGAATCCAGCTGAAACACTGCGAATCCCACTGAAATACTGTGCATCCAACTGAAATACTGTGCATCCAACTAAAATATGGTTAATCCAAATCACATACTGCAAATCCAACTGAAATATTGTGAATCCAAATTAAAATATTGTAAATGCAACTGAAATATTGTAAATCTAAACAAAATATTGTGAATCCAACCTGCTTAATGGCATCATTAATGTCTGCATCATTCAAAATTTCCTCAGGAATTTGGTGGGCCCCTCTCCTTGGTCTATTTGAGCCTGAAAAATAAGAGACATTGTTTTTCTTAAATTAGAACTCTCCCAGTAAAGATATGGAGCAAAAATTAAATGTTCCAGCCATGTAAGCTGTTCTTCAAGACAGTCCCACTACTGGGTCTTCAGACTTAGCTAGCTGCTACTTTAACACTGTCTCTCCTAAAGTTTTTGTACCTACAGCACTCATGTTTATTATCTTCTTCTTCTGCCTTTCTAGCCCCCAATGGAGAATAGGCCCAAAACCAACACACGCCAAGTGGTTCTATCCTTTGCTATGGCATGCAGCTCTCTCCATCTTTTTAACTTCTTTCTCCAGCTCTCTTCTTCATGTGTTTTTTGGCCTTCCTTTATTCCATGGTTCTTCCTAAATCAGTTCAGAGAGTTCTAATATACCACGTGTCAATTCTGGAGGTTTTCCTAGGTGAGGAGGTATGTCGACGATAAGGACTCCTTTTAACTTTATCCTCACTGTGAAATACTTTTTCTACTTGAAGAGCCTCCCCTCATCTTGGTTGGCTGGGTTTTACTTGCTTCTTTTTTTTGACTTATCCATGGTTGGTTGGTTTTTGTGGCTACTGTTTTCACAGGATGAGGTACCCAACCTTACCCTTAGTCGCCTCTTACGACATGCTTGGTAGGGTGCAGTGTCACTATTCTTTGCTTCCTGTGAGGGCCCCGGTGACACACGGGTGATTTGTTATCTTAGGAAACTAAAAGTACAGCTTTGAGACAGAAGTAGTTACTCCAGTGACAACGTCTGTAAGACTATCAAGAACCACCTTATTCATCTAATAGGTGCCAATTCACCTAGGCGACTAAACATCCAAAACAGTTTTTATCTAATTGTTTCTTTAAAGTTATGGCACTTGTCGCTGCTTTTCTGGCCTGTATTCATTTCTGGTGGCCACACACATGCTAGCGGTTCTACTAGCCAGACATAAATGTGTTCTTTTTGTTGGAGATAGGTCAGTTAAGTGACTCTGTATTCTTGTTCATATTTTGGCTGGTATTGTAGATTTATGTTTATGTTGTCTGTCCATCTTAGGTGATGATGACCAGTCCTTTCATCCTGGAGGGATGGATGAAATGATGACTTGCGCAGTTCATCACCTCACTCTCTTGCCCAAGTCCATCTAAGTGGAGTGACAAGATAAATCAATTCAATAACAGAGTGTTTTGCGCATGCCGAAAAGTTTGAGGACAACGACGACGCTAATCTGCGTCGGCGCACGTGGTCTCCCCGCCATGTCGCTTTTATCGTCTGCAGAAACGCTCAAAAGTGTCAACAGTCACTATTATCCTCTGCTACTATCATCAACAGTGTTGCATCTCTTAAAATTGTCAGGTAATCAGAAACAATAAGAAACAGGTCCGCAATTAACATATTGCTTAGAACCTGTTAGAGAATTTGTTTCGCTATACAGAGCTGATCCTAGTAACCTAGTTTTGCCGTGACTTGTTCATCACCGGAAGTTCGCATATTTTTAATAGGCCTGAGCCCAGTAAGGATATTTGTTCGGCGCCATAAAGCCGGGGTAGAAGTTCGGAGGAGAGCCTACAATTTTAATTAATTTATTTGATTCAAGAACCGACATCACAGCACTCAGGGCATTCACATAAGCGCTCCGTCCCCATCTTCAGCAGCCAGCGAAGAGTTCCGATACTAATGGTGCCAGGGCTATCCTCCGACTAACAGTCGGCAAAGATGGCGGCCGCAAAAATCCTTTCGAGCCACAGCGGTCACGAGCACACCGCGGCTGCTGCTCGTGGGTCCTAGCCATCTAGTTTAGTCTCATTCCACGCCACTCACGCGGCATGGGGGACACGTTGCAGTGGCGATAGTCACCGGAAAAACGCAAATTAAGTCGCGCGACTGTGGCTCGAAAGTATATTTTGCGGCCGCCATCTCTGCCGACCGTTAGTGGTAGGATAGCCGGTGCCAGTAGGCTAAGTAGCATTCTGATTAAACGTCCGTCTTCGTCTTACCTTTCCTCTGAGCCTCGAGCATCTGACAGAACGTTCCGTCACTCCGTCACTCCCCACTGCATCAATCTCACCAGACTGTGGTGATCCATCTGCTCCTCCGAACCGTACACGCTCTCCCACAAGGCACTAACCACGTCTGCCTTAATGTTATCATGCATCAATATTCCACCAACCAACTGTGCAGAGCCAGCTGAGATGAGTCTGAAGTCTGTGAGTCTAGTGTAACGTGTAGGCAATTTTAATTTGAGAATTCAATTGCATCACTCACAGACTATTGAATGTTAATTCAACCATATCTAGTCTGTTCTGTACTAAATCATTAACGATATAAGCATTTCTTGTGAAACTATTTTAGTATTCAATGATTATCGACGCTCAGAGACTTACCATAAACTTTATGATCACGCGAAGCCACGACCACGGTAGTGGTGGTCGCCATATTTGTTTGTGTTTGTGAACAAAAGCTGGATTAGACAAGACATTAGGAATTAGGGACCATTCTGATAATTTAATTAATTAATATTCCCTTCAACTTTAGTTTGAATTGTTAATTTTGTGTGTGTGTGGTTTTTTTTTCTTATTCTGAAATTTAATGGATATAGTAATATACATCAGTTTTTCTATTATCCTAAACATGATGATGAACTTCGAAGTTGTGAAAGTAAAACCGAAACCGAAAGCATCCGACAAGAACCAGACGTTTCCTGTGAGAGAGAGTCGTGGGAAAACAGAAGTTTGTTTAACTCGCACAGATTTGCATCCCATTCAACATTCACTTCCAAATGGCGTTTTACGTGAGTAGTTTAATTAATTGTAATTTGATATTTCATGATTTTACATTCTAGTTATGTTTAAAAAATGCACTAAAGATAGTTATTTAACTGTCCTTTTCCGACTCTTTACTTCATGAGAAAGTCAATGTGTTACTCAAGACGTGAGTCTCAAGTTACTGTAGAATAGTTTTTTGTTTCAAGTTTCCAGTTCTTCGGTAAGTTCCTCAAGGTTTGACAGTGTCAGTGACATCACAGCACTCAGTACATGCCCATGCGCTCACCTTAAGTTCCAATATCGATGGTGCATAATTATTTTTAGTCCCCGTTTCAGTCATTATAGCAGTTTAACTTTAATAAATAATTTAATATATGTCCATTTTGCCTTGCCTTTCGCTTAGCTCTTGAAGTGTAGAAGTGTCGACCAAATCCCCTGGTCACTCCTACATGGCTTTACCATTATCTCCACACCATAATTACATAATAAGTAATGATCTGTTTGTGCCTCTTCGTTGTTCATTTGACTAATGATTGTTGACCGCATCTAGCTCATGCATACCTTCACTGTCCATTGGTGCAGAACCAGCTAGTATGTCTGCCTGTTCATTTCCCAACACTCCTGCATTCCCAGATGCTATATGAAGCAATGCTTGCCACTTTGCATGGAAACTGCCTGTCTCCACCTATTGTAACATGTTTTGTTTGTCAGGTACAGTAACAATAATAATCAAATCACATGTGTGTATAGTACAGCTGGTTCTCAAGCTAGCAGAAAGCTGCTATTACTGCCTCCACCTCCATTCTTAAACTAGACGTTGCCGTATCAAATGCTACTTTGTTGCGCTATGCATCCTCCATTCACTTTCACAATGAACCCCTTCACACTTCTTCTGTCTTCCAATATAGAGCCATCTATATATTATCGTCAATCAGTTGTTTAATTTCTGAATCTGTAATGCCTTCTGGCCAAGCCCTGCACATTTGGCCTATTGTGATTAGAAGCCTACATGAGTCTTTTGCTCTGACTTTTGACCCACTCCTCTCCCATTCTCCCCTCCCCCAATCATACAGTACACACCTCTGATCATGCATTCTGCTTGTGCCATCCAAGACTTCCCTCTTATCAACCTGTGACCCTTAGTTGAAACCCGGGCTTCATAAAGAAGGTGGTTTTTGTCAGCGGCTACCCTGAGGTATAAACTGGCCTGCAACACTTTGAGCCGGCCTGAAATAGTAGGCAGTGCAAGGATGTATCACATACAGGCTACTGGAGTGGCCCTTGTGTATCCTAAAAACACCTGCAGGACTTCATTCTGTATGTATTCAGGCTTCACCAGCTGACACTTCAGTACAGTGAGCAACCCTAGTTCATAATCCATCACAAAATATTTTATTTGGCCATTTACATATAATTTAATTTAGGGTAATAGAATTCATTGTGGTCTTCCTTTTTCTAAGACTAAATTTGTGCAGTCATTGTTGATTGTTTTTGGTCTATAGTTAGTACCAGGTAATTCAATACAATTTAAGAATATAGTTTTAAGACATTTTTCAACTACTTGACTAGTTGAAACTTTACATTTCCTTGTTGAAATGAATGTTGAATTAAATTAAACAAGGTATGTTGTCCAACACCAGTTTATAACAATTGTTTGTTTAAAAGTATTGTGTTAATGAATTTGTAATGTCCATTGTTACTTTTTAATACCCTGTCTTTACGATAATTTATCTTTCTCTGTCAAAATTAAACTGCCTAATATTCTCATAGGATGAGGAAGAAACAAGCACTCGACTGAAGGGAGCACTGGACCTCAATGAACTGAGAAATCCACAAGGCAAAGGAGTGGAGTTTGAAGTGGATGAGAATGAACTCAATAAGCTGGGTTAGTTGTTTCATATTTGAAGACTTATTGCATAATGTCAGTGTCTATGGCTTAGTGGCTATGACTGTGGTTTCATAATTCGGATATACTGGTTTTGATTCAGCTGCAGGCAATTTGACAGCAGACTGCTTTGGATTGATTTTGTTTGTGGTGTGCGTAACTGAATTTACAGTTTGCTGTAAATATTTAAAAAATGTAATACCAGTTTGGCTAATATATAAATAACATAATGTTCTGTTTTATTTTTGAATGACTTGATTATTAGGTTGCAATTTTAAAAACAGCGTAATCTACAGCAGAATTATTCAGCTGGCGGGCCACATCTGGGCAGTGGAGGCCTTGCAAGGGCCAGCAGATCATTGCCACTTGTATTGTAATAATGATCTGTCTTTCATTTTCTGTATCTCCCTCTCATTTTATCTGTCTCTTATTCTCTCAGTGTCTCTTATTCTCTCAGTGTCTCTGTCTTTGTCTCTACCTATGTTATCACCTCCTCTCTCATCTCTGTGCCCCTTTTTCCCCTTCTCAATTTCATTACTTCTTTGGTTGACTTAATTCAGTAAAAAAAAAATAATTATAAACTGAAATATTTTTTTAAATATTCCATAAGGAGTCGAGGAGGAAACAAGCATGAACATCTTTGACAGGAACCAGTTGGTGTCCAATATCTGCTTCATGTCGGACGAGGAGAACAGTGCATCTGATGAGGAGGATGAGCAGTGTCTGACAGAACTGGAGCGTTTAAAGAAGAGGATGCTTCAAAATAAAAACTCTGACCTCACCCCGAAAAAAGACGGGGGAGTTTTAAAGCAGCTGAAAACGCCAGGAGTTGGCAGTGTCATCCCTGAAGGGGCTCTTGTGATGAGTAGGTGTCTTTGTCATTTTAAAAAGGATTTTTTTCTAGCTGATGGTTGTTTCCATTTGTAGAGTTGTTTTTTTCTTTAAATTTCGCAGCATTTGATAATACAGAGTTGGAATAATGAAGAAATTCCTTATGGGAGTTCTAGGGCCCAGTTTTTAGCTAAAATAAAAATAAAAGACCCACTTACCCATAACAGACAGTTATAAACAATGATCAGTTAGGAATTTGTTGAAATCGGATATGCTGGACAAAAGGCCAAAAACTGCGGCCTCATTGTAAACTACAACACAGCATGCCAGTTACCTTTGGGGGGGGGGGGGGTGTTCAGAAGAAGAATATAAAAACTGGGACATTCCAGAGAAACTCTTAGGGAGAAATATTGATGATAATGTGACTAGGTGTGCTGGACTAGATTTCAAGATTGCATCCATGATATCAAGAGGATTGCACAACATGAAGCCTTTTTTTTTTCGCATTTACCGGCTGTAAACTCCAGCCCAAAGCTCTGGGTGTGTCGTCCATCTCCAGGTTTTAGTCTTGTTCCAGAACCTGAGTGTTACGTGCATATCTGTTTCACAGATCTGGCTTATTTGTATGATTCCTTGCCTCTCAGGCAAATTCTGACTGTAAAGAATGCTCCCAGTTAGTCGACTCCTACTAACAGTGGGTCAGTATTAAGAATTGGAAAGGAACACTATAAACATCATCATCCTGTTGCAGGTCCTTTGCAGAATGTCTCTGTCATCACAGTACATTAAAAGGGATCTCTTGTGACATTCTGGCGCCTTCAACGGAGCATGCACGGCGCCGCACGACCTAGGGGTATCCCTGATTTTCAGGGTACAGACCTGATATGGCAGAGAACTGATGCTGATAAAGGAAAAACCCTTCTGGCGCGCTACTTGGAGCAAACTGACCAAAAAGACGAAGCTACAAGAATAGGGGTTAAGATGAAACTGTCGATGCTGTGCGAGAACACTGTGTTAGGCACTGATCTCACAATCACTGCAGATACCTTAAGAACTTGCCTCAAGAAATCGCGCAGCACTGCTCCAGGCCCTGACGGCATCCGATACAACGACATGCTGATGATGTCGAATGCTGATTTGAAAAGCGTGGCAAAGGAATTCAATATCAGCATCCAGAGTGGCCAGATACAAGAGGAATGGCTCCATAGTTATTTGTTTCCACTACCAAAGCCTAATAAAGACCACTCAAAGATCTGCGGCTACAGAATCATCTCGATGCAGAATACTGTTGGCAAACTTTTGGAAAAAATTGTCGCACAAAGATTGACCACCTACTTGGAACTACATGATAAGTTCCCACCAACACTTGGAGGGTACAGGTTAAATAAAGAGACATGGTTCAATGCTGCAGTTTTCGCCTACGATGTGTACGAGGGATTTCAGATTAAAGAAGAGACATGTGCGGCAGTGTTGGACTTAGAAGATGCCTACAATAAAGTACCATACGATTATTTAATGCAATTACTGCTTAAACTAGAAGTTAATCCTATTCTGATCCGCTGGATTGCTGCGGTCCTGTTCCAGAGAAAGATTGTACTAAGATGTGGTAGCTGGTCCTCCGAACCGCAAATGATATGTCCAGGCTTGCCACAGGGATCACCGCTATCACCAGTCTTATTCAACGTTTACACGGTGATGATCACTGAGCAGCAGTTGAATGGAAAGGGAAGGACTTTGTCATTTGCTGATGACATTTTGATTTATCGACGAGGGCGTGATAGACAGGAGATCGCCAGCACTATGCACAAAGAACTCGATCGAATTGCCGCCTGGTGTGATGGTTCCAATGCCTATGTCAATCCTTCGAAGGCATCAGTGTCATGGTTCTCTTTGAACAATCACATTGTCAAGTCGGACTTACCAGAAGTGAAAATGCGTGATAATGCATTGATCAGAACCAACGTTATGACGTTTCTCGGGGTGAGGTTCGATCGCAGCTTGTCATTCAGGGAACACGTTGACCATGTGATAACAAAAGCACGCAAAGGTCTATCTGCAATGAGGATTATGGCTGCTTCCAATATTGAGCAAAGACTACTAATACTTCTATTCTACGGTCTGGTCCTTTCCCCCATAGAATACGCTCTGGCCATCCTCACTGTCAGTGCTACCCAGATTGAACGACTCGAAAAGGTGCAAAATGAAGCCATGCGCATTATTTTGGGATGTACTAGAGACACATCCTGTGGAGCAATGAGGTATCTACTTGACTTTCCAACAATGAACCAAAGGATCAGGATGTGGAGGGCTCGGGCATATCTCAAAATATGTGCTGATAAGAAACACCCACTGCATCAAGCGCTTTTTAGTGAAAAGGGCGACAGACTGAAGAGGGGGAAATCGTGGCTAGGTCGGGCAGAAGATGTCATTAGGCAAATATGCAGCCTAACCGACATCATACCTGGTGCAGAATGGATACCTGTGCCTCAGGCGTTTATTTGTACATTTTCCTGTATTGTCACACTCAACAGGCGATGTAGAGAAGAGAATCCTGGTGCTGTTAATGCAGAGGTCAACGCTCTCATCGGTGAAAATTCAGACGAAGCAGATGCAATAATCTATACAGACGGATCTGTTATACGCCAAAGAAGAAGCGCATGGGCATTTACAGCACGCTCAGCGGGCAGAACAGTCAAAGAAGCCAACGGCGCCTTCTCCATGACAACCAGCAGCATGACGATGGAGGTGATGGCAGTGACACAAGCGCTTGCCTGGCTTGAAACACAAAAATACACCCGCGTGTGTATACTCAGTGATTCAATGAGTATGATCCGGAGGGTTCAGGCAGGTTCAGTGCGAAGACAATGGCTTGAATCATTACAGAAGTCCACTGTTCGTGGAGTCACCTTTATTTTTGTTCCGGGACACGCAGGCGTCGATGGAAATGAAAGAGCTGACAGGTTGGCTGGATCCGCTATCACTACCGACGGTCAGCCTATGGATCATGCTGATATTATCAATGCCCTCAGAGAAATGGGAAGAATAGAGGACTTTGGTGGCAGTGAATCCACATCAATCGCCAGAATGGCAGACTTGGGAATTAAGATCGGCACAGCAAAAAACGAGACGCACACCAGCTACGCCAGAAGACTTGTTAATCAACATAGAACTGGTACTATTAGCCATCGGACGTTGGGGTTCATACTGAGGGGAGGATCTGAGCACCTATGGACATGTCCGGAGTGCAATGAGGATAACCCAACTAACTAACTAACTAACAAAGTACATTAAAAAGTCCTTTACCAACTTTCATGTCTACGGTGTCTTTGATATCCTATGTCCACCAACTTTCATGTCTAGGGTGTCTTTGATATCCTATGTCCACCCTTAATAGCCCTCTGCCTCATCTTCCAGTATTCACACCTTTCATTCTGACTTTTCTCCAAACCATTAAGGCCTGTAATATGACTGGATTTTTTTTTGGCTTTAGGTTTATACAATGGATCAACATGATTGAACAAGGGTAGAAATCCATAAGTTCTCCGTTCTACTTTTAACCCAGGTCTGAGTCTGAGGAATTTCAGTGCAGTGTACAAACTCTGTAGGAAGATCCGGCGAGGATCCTAAAATACTTTGGGTGGATTTTTTAACTCCAAATTTTGCCGGGGCAGCTACTCTGTTTGATTTCCAACTGCCAAGGGGAAAGAACAGACCCACTGGCATCCTAACAAGCATGTTATGAAAGACAACTAAATTTTGTCATTTGCTCCTGAAAGCAAAACCGAAACTGTCATTCTGGAAACTGAAAACTGAATCTTTAATTCAACTGGCTGGAGTATTTCGGTTTATGAGATACAGTATTGTTTATGAGCCAACCCCCTCAGTATTCAGACAGTGAAGAACGTTCAAAACTACAGAATTACCTCAACATAAAATCATGTAGGTTAGTTGCGTATCCTTTACAGGACGTTGCAGAACCAACCCCAGCAGCCCCTGGCTGTTGTGTGGTTTTACTAGGCAAATTTACGTCCAGTAGCTTTCTGGACGGTCGGCTTTCTTGCTACCACTGTCAAAACCAACGCAAGGCACATGGCCCGCAGCTGCGATCGAACCCGGCATTACGAAGCGTTCACATCCACTTAGCCACAGAGCCTACCAAAAATCATGTAGAATAATTGGAAAAAAAAATTCAGCTGAAATACAAATGGTCGATATCATTGTATCGTGTTCACCTAATCACCTGAAGTTCACGACAGTGACAATGCTTACATAATAGGGTGTTAGACATTTTTAGTGTTGAAGATTTGGCTATCAGGCTGCTATTGGTACCATTGGACCATTTGCTGCTGAAGATGGGGATGAGGTGCTAATGGAAATGTCCCAAGTGCTGTGATTTTGATTATTAATTAAACATTATTTCCAAGTTGTCTCTCCATTTGACTAACTGGCACTTAAATTGATGAATACAGCTTTATTTGGTGTACGGAGATACTAGCTCTTTGAAATGTGGGTTTGGGGTGGAAGTGCATATACCTCATTACTGCAACAGCAGCAGAGAATGAAGGAAGAATGTGATTTTTTTCTCTCTCTTTTTTATTGTTTTTTGGGAATGCCTTGTGTGCAGGGGAGTCCCTGTGGCGGAGCGGCTAGACGCTCGCCGCAGATCGGAAGGTCGTGTGTTCACTCCCTGGAGGAGCCATACTATTTTCAAAAATGACCTTGGCTCCCATGTCGACCCAGCCTTAAGTGAGTACCGGGTGCAGTCCCAGGGACATCAGTTCTAACAGTGTAGCATAACATCTTCCTGTGACATTTCATCAATCCATTTCCTCATAGGGCCACCTCTTGCTCAAACATCAGATCTTTTCATATGTAGTGCCTGTGTGGGTAGTTGTTGTGGCTGCATTCTTACTAGATGACCAAACCATTTGATCTTTTCCTTCTCAGTGAATTTGCTTCATGGTGTTGTTCCCACAGTCTGTCTATTTTAATTTCCGACTTTGTCTTGAATGGTTAAGTTGGTAGTTTTTCTCATTTCATAGGTGTTAGTTTTACATAGGTTAGCCTTTCATAATGTCCGAGTCTGGCACTGGTAGCACAGTGTTGGTATGAATATACTGTCTATAATCTTGTTTCTTGGCGCTCATACTTATGTTTGGATGACTCAGTGTGTCAGTTTATATTTGAAAGAATTGACTTGTTGGCGTCTTGTTTATATTTCCCCGATGTATTCGCCCAACCTCCAAGAATATTCTTCCTAGATATTTACATTCTGTAACTAGTTAGTTATTTTTAAAATGTGAAGTAAATGTAACTTGTTATAAAAATCATTTAATTCCTTTTATTGATGTTTTTCCCCCACAGTGCATTTTAATGCATACACTGACATTGGACAACCTCCATATGATAGTACACGACTCAGAGGTCAAGCAATGAAGTTTCGATTGGGCAAAGGTAAAAAGAAAACATCTTTTCTTCTTCTGCATTTACCCTTTAAAGTGCCATTTCAGTGTTGGATTGTGGTTAACAGCTAGGCGCGATATCTACACCTTTCAGCCCAACAGGTTTCAATTTCAGCAAATCCTTAATTAGTTTAATTCATCTTCTTAGCATTCACCGGCTACAAACTCCGATGGAAAATTTTGGTTGGTCAACCACTTCTTAGCATTCGCCGACTACAAACTCCGGTGGACGTTTCTGGTTGGTCATCCACTTCTGGACTTTATTTGTGTTCCAGAAGTTGAACTTTGCATGCACATCCATTTTATAGATCTGGGTGTTCGGCTCGCTAGCGTAGTTAGCTAAACCTGACTTCACGACGACCTGGTGATGAACTCCTTGTGGTCCAGGTTCACGCCCGAAAGTAGGCAGAAAAGCCACATTTCTCCCAGATTTACGGTATTTATCATGGAATCAAGGCAGAAGGGTTGCGATATCCATAGTACCTAGTCAAAAGGTTGCGAACTCATGGTTTCTGGATACTTAAAAAAAAATTGATCTGGATATTTGCATACAGTCTGCTTGTTCATTGTCTCTCGGGCAGATGCGCTCCAACTTCAGAGAAAAAAGTAGTTGCCTTTTATGACATGCTTATTAGGAAGCCAGTGTGTCTGTTCTCTCTCCCCCACCCCCCATTTTGGAAGATATTCAACGTTAAAGGAGCAACAGAGGCCTATATCCTCAGGCTCAAGGCCCACCTGTCTACACCGCCCTATGGTAAAACAGAGGTAGACTTCTCATCAGGTTATAACTGGTACTGTTAGCATATTGAATCTTAGTTGGTTACTGAAGAAGGGGACAGAGCACATGTGGGAATGTCCCAAGTGCAGTGATATCAGTTCTTGAGGTTCATTTACTCATTCATTCCTCAGATTTATGGAGGGTGTGTGCTGTAGTCTGTAATCGTATGCACATATAATCTGGTTAGTAAAGGTATGTCCTAGCTTGTCTCTATATTCTGTAATAATTTTCAGGGGAAATCATTCCTGGATTGGAGCTGGCTTTGCTGTCCATGAAAAAGCATGAGGTGTCCAGATTTCTCATCCATCATGATTATGCTTACGGGAAGATGGGATGCCCACCACGTATCCCAAGAGAAGCTACACGTGGGTACACTTTTTGATTTTCAGTTTTTAAAATTGATTTTTTAAATTATATATTTTTAAAGGGCGAAAATGAAACATGTTGTGACCACTCGTAAGATCTGTGGAAGGAGGGATAGCGGAATACAACGAGAGAAGATTCTTGACAGTCTTGTTGCATGGCATGGAGGTGTGTCAGCACACACACTGATACATGCTACAGGAGATCACAGATCATGGAGGTGTGTCAGCACACACACTGATACATGCTGTAGGAGATCACAGATCATGGAGGTGTGTCAGCACACGAACTGATACAGGCTGTAGGAGATCACAGATCATGGAGGTGTGTCAGCACACGAACTGATACATGCTGCAGGAGATCACAGATCATGGAGGTGTGTCAGCACACGAACTGATACAGGCTGTAGGAGATCACAGATCGTGGAGGTGTGTCAGCACACGAACTGATACATGCTGTAGAAGATCACAGATCATGGAGGTGTGTCAGCACACGAACTGATACATGCTGTAGGAGATCACAGATCATGGAGGTGTGTCAGCACACGAACTGATACATGCTGTAGGAGATCACAGATCATGGAGGTGTGTCAGCACACGAACTGATACATGTTGTAGGAGATCACAGATCATGGAGGTGTGTCAGCACACGAACTGATACATGCTGTAGGAGATCACAGATCATGGAGGTGTGTCAGCACAGGAACTGATACATGCTGTAGGAGATCACAGATCATGGAGATGTGTAAGCGCACAAACTGATACATGCTACAGGAGATCACAGATGACCTGCTGATGATGAATTTTAAAGCATACAAGTAGTTATGGCAACCGTTGTAGTGCAGAGCCTAGAACAGGGCTATTCAACTGATGGAATGCCTTTCATTTATGCAGCGGTTGTGATGTGGTACTCAATATGGCCAGGAGCCGGTTTATGTGTGAGCTGGTGAAATACCTTATGTAATAATTCTGCGTGTGTATGGCCAACTTATCGAGCCTGACTACTTCCATCAACGACTGATCTGTAAAACTGGTGTACAATTAGTGGTCTTTGAGCGCACAAAATAGCAGAACCGGATTTATGCAAATTACCGACTTGAACAGCAACATTTAGGAATATATAGAGGCGCTTTAGCCTAATGAGGGACTACAATCTTAAGATTATCCCACTAAAATATTGTGGTGCTAGGAAATGTGGGTGCAATGTTTATAATGGATTTTTTCCTATATGCCAAGTTGGTAATTCTAAATTTAGCCTGTGGTTTTCCCACCCCTCGTTTAGTGCAGATTGTGTGGAAAGTATTTTTTACCTACGTTACCTATAGCAATGGGCCTTTGAACTTTAGAACATCAGAAATAGTATCCGTAGACATATTCTATTACCTACAGAAGACAGCAGTTTTCACCTGGGAAGTTTTGTATGTAACCATTATGATACCCTAATTGTAATTATTTTAAAGATCTGATGTAGCTTAGGGCCTGAAGGTTTTGTAATCAAATTTCCATTAATTTACCCTTTATTATCATTAAGCATCTAGCCTACTGGCCTCTCTACAATCTGCTCTCTGCGACTACGTACATCGCTACATGTGTTGACACCCCTCCATGCCATGACAAAAGGCTGTCAAGAAAATTCTCATGTTGTCTTCCTCTGTTGATCTTTCCAGTGGTCACAATGTTTTCCAGTTTCCTTCTCATAATCGAGACCAATTTTTCCCCTCAAAATTTACTGTAGCACCCGGGAACAGAACCACTGCTAAACTGCGTTAAGGGACAACAGATCAAATGGTTTTGACATATCAAGACTACCACAGGATTGTGCACTACAGAGAGCTCTGTCACTTAGACACAATGGAAGAGATGAATCCAATGAACTGTGACTACAAAGCTTAACAAAATGGGGAAGCAGAACCACATGCACAAATCAACGTTTTGGTCAGGGCCTTTCTGGACATGAACGTACCACACAACAATAACAAAGGGGAGAATACTCCAACCACCAGTGCCCACAATGGAAGCAGAGCTAGAGATTGTCCGTGCAAGCGCTAGATGGATGGAATATCTGAGGCTATAAATACTATCTATCAAAGGCAATGAAAGCGCTAATGCTTTAGCCAAGGAAGGCAGCAGGACACCACAAATCTACCAACCACTATTTTATCTAGAAGTCAAAAGCCTCATTAAGAGAAAATAAGAAAGAGACTGGAAAACCAACACAGGTTACAACCATGAAAAGGATTTCCTCAAACACCTGAGCAGAATAGACCAAGTCGCAATTTTTTGCTTACACGCTGGATACTGCAGACTAACAACGACTCATATAAATTAGGTATGAGCCAAATAACTCTCTGCTAGTGTCCATGCTGAACACAGACTCCAGAACATGTTTTGTAAGACTGTTTTCTCTTGGCGGAGCTGTGGAGCAACATGTGGCAACACCCAGCAGACCTGATAACTAAGCTTTGGGGAGACCCAAGAGATCTTGAGATGACATCCCAGTTTACCGGCCACATGGATTATGCGCACCAAAGATCACTGAAAAAGAAGAAATACCATCTATATAGCACACACCAAAGCTCGCACCAGGTGCCTCTTTGGAACCTAACACTGAAAACCAAAATAGAGCTAGAGTAAAATTAAAAAATAATATTCTTCTTCTCTTCCACTATTTATCTCAGCGAGGTGTTGGGGGGAGATGTAGGGATCGTTTGTGCGCTTTTTCCAATGCATTGTACAAGCTGGTGTTCATTTCTGTTAGGTTGCTCCTGATGGTGTCGCTCCATCTCTTGCGTGTGCTAAACACGTGGAAATATGAGCTAAATCTGTGTAGGAAATGTGAATATTGTGTTCCTGAGGAGAAGTGTACAGGTAAACATGAATCTACGATAGGTCTGGCATACGCTAGAAGATTTAACTACATACATAGTGATGCCCCAAATTTTATTTATACTATTACACATTAATATTATTTTATTGTCATAATTTTGTTAAAAACTGATGTTGAGAGATTTGTTTACGCATACAAACATTGTTATTTTGTTTCTTTACCAGTGATATTTGATGTAGAAATACTCCACTTTGTGGAGCAGGAGGGTGTTGATGACTACTATTCTCTCACGCCAGTAAGTAGACTTTTTTTCCCCCATTCACCATTAAAAAGGAAGTTGGTACATTGTATTATGGTGTGCAAGCTAGGCTGCAATGTCTGCATCTAATTGAGCGGTACCCAGCATTTTTGTTTAGCCGCGCCCCTATTTTAGGGGGTGGAGTGATCTGTGACCCCATACATTAAAATGAGGCTTTACTTCTCTTCTTCACGTTCACCAGCTTAGTCTTGTTCAAGAATTTGAATTTTGTGTGCACATATGTTAACAGATCTTGCTTTGCGGCAGAGTGCTGGTTCCGCACCACTGAGGCAGATGCGCTGCGATTTCTGAGGAAGCATTCCTGATCAATCACCTACTGCAGCGTGCTTGTCAGGAAAAGCCCAGCCTCCCCCCTTCCTGATTTAGGCCCCAAAGCCCACATAGGGACAGGCTTTTTAGGAAGGTGAAAGAAAATACATTGAAAATAAATATTTCAGCAATATGTAATTCAAAATAATAGTAACTTACTCCAAGATGTGGAGTCATACACCTATTTAGGCAGTTATGTGGATAAAAATGGGGGGGAACTGATGAAGATATTAAAAATAAAGACACCCAAAAAAAAATAAGAGGAGCTTTCATTGCACTAGGAAATTTGTGGAGGGCAAAAGAAATTAAAACTAAACTAATCTTACAATTTTTAATTATAATGTAAAATAAGTACTAATGTATGGAATGAAAACATGAAGAACAACTAAAACGTTTACTAATAAACTTCAAACATTCATTAACTGGTGCCTACACAGAATAGTGGGAATAAATGGTATGTTAGAATCACTGACGTTAGCTTTGGGTGAGAACTAAACAAATTTCAGTGGACCAAGATGTGAGGAAAAGATGCTGGCGTTGGAAAAAACACATGTTGAGAAAACTAGAACAATATAACTAGAATTTCTTTGCACCAGAATCCACAGGGGCATAGAAATAAAGGCAGACCAAAAAAAAACAAGGACAATAGAGCTAGAGAGTAAAGTTAAAAAAAAAGATGGGGAGGACATGGTGTGAACTGCAATCAATGGTGAAGGATAGAACGACTTGGCGTGAGTTGGTTGAGGGCCTATGCTCCAACTGGGCGAATGTTTAATTAAGAATCAACATCATAGCACTCGGGACACTCCCATGAGCGCTCCATCCCCATCTTCAGCAGCAAGGGAAGATGGCACCAGTAAATATCTGATTGTTTATCTGTCTTGCTTGAGTGTTGAGCATCAATCAGTTGCCATGGTAGCGCCTCACATTGCCAGTTTTCCTCAGACCGTCATGATCTCTTTGTGCCTCCTCCCTGTTTACTTGTTCCCAAAGGGCCCTCACACCATCTAGTTTGTCATACATCACTTTACCACCTAGTGGTGCAGATCGGGTCAGTCTATCTGCATGCTCGTTTCCCAAGACAGCAGCATAACCTTGATACAATATTAAATTATGCTAACTACCCAGGACCTCTGAAGCGATGCTTGCCACTCTGCATATAGCATGCCTGTCTCCACCTTTTTCAACCAATTAATGAATGTTTGTAGTTAACTGGATTTGTATTTTCATAAGTAAAATGTAATTTTTTTTTTTACCAGGATGAACGCAAGGGAAAATTCAAATACGCTGACATTGAAAAAGTTGTTAAAGCAGAAAATGCAGTAAGTTCATTTTTTTCTGTGGTTTATATATTATTTTTTAAATGCCTCTGTTTGACCTTGCATCTGCAGTAAGTCACATTTCACAAAAAAATATCATTGGGCACTATGTTATCATTTGTATGCGTTCACATTGTTGGTTCTAATTAAAGTAACTTAATGATTTTCAGTGAAGTGTGAACTTTGTTGCTTCAACAGCAACTCTGTTGTTTTTCACAACTCCGTAAGGAGCTCTGAAATATCCACAATCAAGAACTGAACAAGAGTCCAAAATTTGACCTGCAGTTTTTAAAGTACAATTAATGCTGCTTATCCACTTCGCACATAGACCTCCAAGAAACTTGTTATTATACTGTGTACCTCGGCGTAGCATCTGGGAACTGGCTGTGACTGACAGCAGTCATCTGCTTTCAAGTTCAGTCAACTGCTCTCAGGCTCAGTCATCTGCTTTCAAGTTCAGTCAACTACTCTCAGGCTCAGTCATCTGCTTTCAAGTTCGCTCAACTACTCTCAGACTCAGTCATCTGCTTTCAAGTTCAGTCAACTACTCTCAGGCTCTGTCATCTGCTTTCAAGTTCAGTCAACTACTCTCAGGCTCAGTCATCTGCTTTCAAGTTCGCTCAACTACTCTCAGGCTCAGTCATCTGCTTTCAAGTTCAGTCAACTACTCTCAGGCTCAGTCATCTGCTTTCAAGTTCGCTCAACTACTCTCAGGCTCAGTCATCTGCTTTCAAGTTCAGTCAACTACTCTCAGGCTCAGTCATCTGCTTTCAAGTTCAGTCAACTACTCTCGGGCTCAGTCATCTGCTTTCAAGTTCGCTCAACTACTTTCAGGCTCAGTCATCTGCTTTCAAGTTCAGTCAACTACTCTCAGGCTCAGTCATCTGCTTTCAAGTTCGCTCAACTACTCTCAGGCTCAGTCATCTGCTTTCAGGTTCAGTCAACTACTCTCAGGCTCAGTCATCTGCTTTCAAGTTCAGTCAACTACTCTCAGGCTCAGTCATCTGCTTTCAAGTTCAGTCAACTACTCTCAGGCTCAGTCAGGTCCGTTGCAGAATGTCACTCTCCCACCTTGTTTACTTTCATATTCAGGGAGTCATATCTTGTTGGTCAGCCCCTCCTTGCAGGTACTACGCCTTCTGCTATTATTTTTTTCCCAATCTGCTATGGCGCTTGATGTGACCAAAATATTTCAGCTTCTGAGACAAGATGCTGTTTATCTTCCTTGATGTTAAAATCTTTTAAAATTTCAGTATTTCTTCCCTTCTTTGTCCATGGTTTTCTGAGAATCTTTCTAAAGCATTTCAGCTCAAAAGCCCCTATTTTCTTTCTTAAGGACTGGGAGATAGTCCATGACTCACATCTGTATGTTGCCACAGGCAAGATGCGTGCTCTCAAAATTTTAATTTTGAACTTTTTAGTTACTTTCTTTATAGTCAAAATTTTTCTTTTCGAAAGTGTATGTGAATCTTTTTTTGTTAAATATAGAATGCAGAAAATAAATCTATAGTTCAAGTCACAGGGAAAATAACTGCTTGTTGTTCACTTCCTTCTTTACCCCTTTTGGTTTAAAAAAAAGATATACGAGGGTTCTGCTTGTTGCTCTTCTGGTCGTGGTGACATTGTTCTCTTGTCGAGTTTCACTGATGTTATCTTTCCATCTTATTCTTGATCTGTGTCGTGCTCAGTTTCCCCCTCTTTGTGAGTGTGAGTGCACACGTCTTGTATGGTATAGCACCTCCATACATTCTCTCTAATTAGGCAAATCATTCTATTTACTGTCTTTATTTATGGTTCTTTGCCGACTTTTTGTGATTTCATTCCTGATTTTATCTCTCCTAGTCACTTATTCTCTGACCTATTATTTCCATGATTACCATTTCTCTGTTCTGGTATGTTGTGAGTGACCATGTCTGGCACTGATACCATTAGCTGGGAATGAATAAGCTTTGTATGAGATGCCTTTTTGCCCTGATCGGAACTTTCTCACACTGTTAATAATGACAGCATTGTCAGTAAAATAATAACTCAAGACATGTGATTATTTATTTCAGAAAGTTTTGCTTTTCAGAAAGTTTTGCAGTAATCTTTATTCCAAAAAAAAAAGATTTCATGAAATTGTCTACGTTCTTTTGTGTTGTAATTGCATTTTTTTTTCTCTTTCTTTAGGAAGCGATGGAGTACTTTGGCAACAAAAACTACTTGAAGTCACTGAGCAAGTATAGAAGGGTACAGTTTATGAATTCCTGAAATGTATCAGCATTTGTTTTATATTTCAACTTGTGGTCATTTACATTTTCACATTTCCTATGTGAGTTCCATGGCTCCATTTTGGATGGGGTGGGGGGATAGACCCACTGTCCCCTTAACAAACAAGTTGTACTAATTAATTTAGGGAATTGCCTTCAAAGCTGGAGTGTAAAGATCAAAGTCTAGAGGGGGGGGGGGGGGGGAGCAACCAGAACCTTCCATCTGAGTTTACAGCTGGTGTTTGCTAAGAAGAAGATTGTTTTAAAAGTGTGTCCTTTTTCCATTTTCATTTATGTCTATTATTGATGATGTTTTAAAAGTGTGTTCCATTTTCATTTGTCTGTTATTGATGATGTTTTAAAAGTGTCCCTTTTCCATTTTCATTTATCTCTATAATTGATCTTCATAATATCTTCTGAGAAACATGGTTCGATTTCAGCTGTGGACAGTTTGCCAGCACTGATTGCATTGATTTTGACAGTGATATGGAAAGTCGACCATTCATAAAGCGACAGCAAACTACTGAATATAAAATTCTTTGTAAAACTCAAAGTAGCAAAAATATGTTGTGGTTGGTTCTGCAGTGTCCTGTAAAGGATGGGCAACTAACTTTTTACCTATTATTATACAGCTGGCTGAACATTGGGCTCTAGTGCAGGAGCCCCGGGTTCAATTCCTCCATGAAGTTTGGTAATTTGTTCTTTCTGGGGCAAAAATGAAATCTTAACCCACACTGTTCATGGCCACAGCAGTAACCAGGTGGCAGTAAAACCTCTGGCTCAAAAACCTCCACGGCCTTCGTAAGAATGGTAAATACAGTCTGTAATGGCAATGCTGATGCTTTTGATGCTAGGAGATAATTTCTCGTGTGGCTGTTTGCCTCTTCCTTGGCTATTCTTTCTCCTGCCTCATGACATGAAAGAAAATCTTATTAAGAAGTGATTGACAGTACAGGGAGAGAAGCCTGTGGACAAACATGATTACCGATGCTACTTTCATGAGCTGAACATTGAGAGGTTTTATCTTACAAGGCTCAGTCTCCCTCTCTGTGTCACCAGAAGAGAGCTTTGCTAAACCAGATTATTTCTTCTTATTCTGCGTTCGCCCTTAATATGTGTTTAACACTCTTGACATCCTTAACAACGGTGTTGACATGCTACAAGACAGTGGCATGGCTTTCATAATTTCTGTCACACATTTAAGCTTTTCATTTAAGTCCCCTTGTAAATGGTTTTTTGTTTTTTAATTTTTTTTTAGTATCCAGAAGCCATGAGTTGTTAACCCTTAGGCTCGGTATAATGGATATCGCAATCCTTCCACCTTGATCCCATGATAGATACCGTAAATCTGGGAGAAATGTGAATTTCCTGCCTACCCCTGGGCGTGAACCCGGACCACAAGGAGTTCATCACCCGGTCACCGCGTAGTCTAGTTTAGCCATGATGCTAGTGAGCCGGGCTCTTGTAAATGATGTCTAAGTACTCGAGAGTTGTGAAGCTTGTTCAGTACCACTGTGCCAGCGAGCTGTACAGGGTTTGATAGTCTTTGTGTATGCGTAAGTGATATACTGTTTACAAGTAAAGATATGAGAGCAGAGCAAATTGTAAGTATATATATACAATTTTTGTTCCAGGCTCAGAATGTTTTAGAAGCCTACAACCTTAAAAATGCAGATGAAGAAAAAATGTGGAAAAAACAGCTTCTGAAGGTCTATGTGAACTGTGCCATTTGCTGTCATAATCTTAGCCATTTTGGGCGCACCATTACTTATTGTAATCAAGCACTTGACTTAGACAGGAAGTGTGTCAAGGCTCATTATTTCAAAGGAAAGGTTGGTATTCTGGTCTCTGTGTGCGGGTCCTGGGGCCCACGTTTATTTTAGTTCAGGGGGGGGGGGGTGAAGCTAAATAATAGACCCGATGTCCTTCTAACAAGCTTCTTCATGACTGCTGTAAGCTGTGGCTCAAATTTCTGGTTGTTTGTCCACTTTGAAACTTTGGTCTCCTTCTGGAACTTGAGTTATGTGTGCACATCTGTTTCACAGATCTGGCTTATTAATATTCAGGCTGTTGGTTCCTGGCCTGAAACGGATTAGTTTACTAGAATCAGATGTGTGGGGTTGAAAAGTGCAGATATTGCAGCTTAGCTTTAAACCGCAACACGTCATGCCAACCACCCTTTTTAGGGTGAACGTAGAAGAAGAAAAAAAATAGTCTGGTTTAGCAGAGCTCTCTTCTGGTGACCAACCATTCTCTGCACAGAGAGAGAGAGACTGAGCCTGGTAAGATAAAACCTCTGAATGAATTCAGTTTCTCCCCTTAGTAACCTTATAAACAAAAATGAAAATCAGAATATTGAAAAACTGTATGTAGCTTCACTGTCCTAGATTAACACCTCCCCCTTTTCCATATCTTCCTTAAAAAGTGTGAATTAAGGTGTTTGTTTGCATTCACCAGGTGGAAAGTTCTTGTTCTTCCATTTGGGCTTGACTTTGTGCCAGGACCTGTCTGAAAGTTCCCATGTGGGTTCTGATGCCCCATTATTGAAGGGGGGGGGGGGGGGGCACAACAGATTATACAAATAAAAATCTGTTTAAAAAAAAGATGTGCGCACACGTCGGGTTCTGGTACCTGGTACAAGACTAAGATCCAGAAGTGGGCAAACAACCAGATCCTTCCCCAGGAGTTTGCAGGTGGTGAACACAAAGAAGAAGACAAGATGATCTGTCTTTGGAAGGACTACTGGTTTTTTATATATATATATATATATATATATATATATATATATATATATATATATTTATCAATATGTCCATATCTCATATGCTTATAACACAGGCATTTTAACTCCTTTTCTCACTGTGGTCGACAGTTTATTTGTGTGTCTACATTACTGCTTAAATAACTGTAGACAGTCTATATCTTGAAGTTGGGTTTATCAAGGTGGCACTCCTCCGAATAACTGTCCCAAATTATCAAGATTAAAAACATACTCTAACAGGGCCTCAAAAGGTCATCTAATAGAAATATTAAAAACTAGAAATTAAAAAAAATATGACACACTTACTAATAATAGTTAATAGTCATACCTCATAATTTTGACACAAAAGTTGTAAATACTGTCCGATTTATTATTTATTTGTACATATAAATTGGCAGGTCTAACATCTACAGTTGTCAGTTCATCAATTGTGAGAACATTAATACTAATCTGTGTTGGAGCTGATGGTCTGCCTGCCATATTTGCCGGAAATAAATCCTAATTTTACAAATCATTGAGGCCCTGCTAGGTTATTTTTTTAATCCCTAATGAGGCTGTTATTCGGAGGAGTGCCGTCAAGGTAAATGATTAGCATTGGCAGACTTTAAATATATTCTTCTGCAAAATATAGTTGAACAAGCTGCTGCCTTCTGTTATTTACCCATCTGTCTATTGTCACAGATGTATTTGTACATTATATGCTTTTGCAAACGGTTACTTTGTAATATTTTTTTCTTTCATCAACAGACTCTTTTATCATTGCCTTTTCTTTTTGTTGTATACAAACACCTTTTATAATTGTTTTTTTTTCTTTCATCTTCAGTCACCATGTATACCTTTATCTACAAACTCATTTTAAAAGTGTTTTTCTTTCATCTATAATCATCTTTTATAATTATGCTGTTACAATTTTCTCCTAAAACTAGGCACTCCATTCTCTGGGTAGTTTCAAGGATGCCACCACAAGTCTGAAAACAGCCCGCAATCTTGATCCTAGCAACTCATGCATTTCAAAAGCACTGCAAAGCCTGGCAAGGTAATATGCTGAATCTGTTAACTTTTATAGACCATGATTTGAATGTTTAGTTAAGATTCGACCTCACAGCACTCAGGACATTGTCTTAAGCACTCACTTCCCATCTTTAGCAGCAAGTGCCAGTTCTGATGACACTAGTAACTCTGATTGCATATCCATCTCACCTTTCTCTCGAATGTCGAGCCTCGACCAGATCTTCTGGTCACTCCTGACTGTACCATTTTCTTTAGACCATGCTCATCTATTTGTGCCTCTGCACCGTTTACTCGCTCCCAAAGGGCATTGAAGACCATGATGAGAACACCAAATGAAATGTGTAATGAAGATGTCTTGAAAGAAATTAACTCACAAAGAAGAACAGATTACTAGTATCAGGAAGTTCCCTGTGTGGGTTCCGGGGTCGCATTGTGGGGAAAACAAAAATAGGCCCACTGCCTCCCCAACAAGCCTGTCATAAGAGTCAACTAACTGGGGGCTTCCTTTGAAGTCAGAGTACATATGCCTGAGAGACAAGTAAGTCAGATTTGTAAAACAAATGTGCATGCAACACTCAGGTTCTGGAACAAGACTAAAGTCCAGATGTGAACAGACAACCAGAACTTTCTGCCCGAGTTTACAGCCGGTGAATGCAAAGAAGAAAGAAGAAGTATCAGGAAGGGACTATACTCTCAGCCGACATCAAGGGAATAGGTAAGCTGGAGTACATTTTGACACTGAGAAGGTTAGAGAGGCAGAGGAAGACTAGAAGAGAAGATGGTGAACAGTTTGGCATCATTGCATGCAGGATCCCCTGCATCATACATTGTTTAAAGTACACAAGACAGAAAGCTGTGGTAAGACGTGACAACCAAGGACTTAAGAAGGACCAAAATGGTTTCTCTTGACCCTTTGGCTGTTCAAAATGCATAAAACAAAATGACCCTTTTCAAAGCAGACTCCTTTTGCATCCGTTCTGCTGGTAATGGTTGCCATGGGTAGTTTTAGTAGACATTTCTTTCTGTATTCGTGTGAAGTCATTGACCATCTCTGTGTACAACTCTCTAAGCCCGTCCACCTGGATGCCGTTTGACTTTCAAAGAAATGCAGGGGCATACTTCACCATCCAGGATTTCTAGTTAGTCGACAGATTAACCCCACTGCACAGCTGTTTTATACATCATCACCATCATGTAGCAGGTCCTTTGCAGAACGTCGCTCTCATCACAGTCTGCCTGAAAGAAACTCGGTCTCTCGCCAGCTCTCCTGCCTCATGTTCTTTCATACTCAAGGAATCACTTATATCCTGTTCCTATTTTCCTGTTGGTCAGCCCCTGCCCCTCCTTTCTGGTACCATGCCTTCTGCTATAATTGTTTCCAGTCTGTCGTGGCGCTTGATATGACCACAATATTTCAGCTTCTGAGACAGGATGCTGTTTATTAGCCAATCTTCCTTGATGTTCAGATCTTTCAAGATCTGTTTAGTCCATAAGTGCAAAAATCCCTTTCCCTTGTCAATCCCTTAGCATGTGACGACGTACGGCACCAGTTTTTGTGTGGATTTGTTGTACCAATAAAAAACGCTCAGAATGTCTATCACTGCCCCTTGTGGGAAAAATGTATGCATACTGCATTCTCTGCATATGCACGCACATTAAAAGCATAAGGCAGCCATCAGAAGTGCTAACACAAACAGTCCGACTATGGAAGCAGCAGCTTGTTTATTATTCCTCATTAGCAGCCAACCTAGTGCTCCTTGTCTGTCTTAGTCTCTTTTTGTCCTATAGCTCTTGCAACCTGAGCAAGATTGTTGATGCAGTTTATTTCTAATACTAAAAATGTTTTTTTGTTTTGTTCTTGCAGATCAATGAGAGAGCATGAGTTGTTTGAAAAAAATATGTATTCAAAAATGTTTGGTGGTGGAAATCAAGGTATGTGTTAGCCTGTTATTTTTTTAAAAAAATCTTTTTAGTGTGTGTGCCTGATGCCATTCATGTTGTTTCAGTTTTAAATGGTTGACTTACAAATTATTTCTACCGATGTTTAAAGATTTGTTTTTCTTTCTGCTGCAGTTTAATATCAGTGTTGAAAAAAGTCGGTTCTTTTTCTACACCTGCCTCAAGTATCATTTTTTTTCAGTGTTCTGGTATTTATATTGTGGTTTTGGGCTACAGTGGCACGTTACCGTCTTATATTGTGCTGTGAGGAGCCTTCTTCTTCGCCTTCACCTGGGGAAAGTTCTGGTTGTTGGTATATGTCTAGATTTTAGTCTTGTGCCAGAACCTGAGTGTTAAGTGCACATCTGTTCCACAGATCTGGCTTTATTGTGTGCAGACTGTTGGTCCCTTGCCTCGTAGGCAGATGCACTATGTCTTTGAAGGATGCTCCCCAAAATAGTTGCCTCCTAGAACATGCTTGTTGGGGAGGCAGTGGGTCTGTTCTTGTTTTCCCCCACAATGGGGCCCCAGAACCCACACAGGGAGCTATGGGGGTATCACAGCCAGTGGTGATGGAAAATGGGACTAGGGGGACCTGCTGACGTTAAGACAATTCTTCCACAGTTCCAGCATATGATTTCAACACCGTTGTTGTCATCATATCTGTTTCACCTGCTTCTTCTCAGACTCTCAGCTCATAATCTGTCTGCAATCATTTTCTTCTTTTCCACGTTCCCCTTGCCGATTTCCCCTGTAATTCACACTTTGCCAGTGTTTGGTTAGTTTTCGTGAGTGGTTTTTTTATTTTTTTTTCTGATGTAATTTTTCTCCAGTATGGAGGTTTTTGGGAAGTTGCTGTGGTATAGCGGCTAGACCCCATCTGCAGATCCAAAGATCATGGTTTGAAGCCCTGACAGAGCAGACCTTTTTTTTTTCAGAATGATCTTGGTTCCTAGGTCGAACTCGCCCTAAACCCCGGTGGAATATTCTGGTTGTTTGTTCCCGTTCTGGATTTTAGTCTTTTTTTTTCAGAATTTTGTGGTCTCATCAGTTTTACAGATCTAGCTTATATGTTTGCCTACTACTGGTCCCTTGCCTTTTAGGCACATGCACTCTGACTTCAAAGGAAGAAAACTGTAGTGATGCACCAGGTTAGATGCAGTAATTTGAGCACTGTAATGGTTTTTGTCCTCATTATTTACATTCACAGTGAGAAAACATTGTTTTGAATAAATATAACGATCTGAAAGCCTCAATGAACTAAGAGGTGAGGAAAAGATGCTGGAGTTGAATAGGACAAATGTTGAGAAAAATTGATAATATAACTAGAATGTCTTGACTCTGGAATCCACAGGAGGGGCATATAAATAAAGTCAAGCCGAGAAAGGAACTAGGGAGTGTGGGTAAAAAAAACAGGGAGGACATGAGATAAGCTGCATGTGATAGAAAAGAATCGGGGACTTAGCGGGAGTTCATTGAGGGCCTATGCTCCATTTAAGGATAAAAGGCAAGAAGAAGAAATTAATTGAAGGTTTGAATATTTGACCGGTTGATCAAGAAAAGCCTGCTCATCAAATGCTGTGAAATAATACTATTTTTCTGTTTCATCTCCTTTTCTAGCTTCTGAATCTGGACCTCTACCATCTCAGGCAGACGCAGACAAGAAAGATAACGAAAGTGAAGGTCTGGAATATGGAACCTGTTCTGATGCATTCAGGAATTTAGTCAGGGAACAGTTTGAGTAAGTTTTCCCTATAAGAAACCATTTTAAAACAAAATCACATAACTGGGTAAATTTTCCCTATAAGAAATACTTTCAGAACAAATGAACAGATAATTAAGTTTTTCCTATAGGAAATCATTTTTCAAAACATAATAACATGTAACTGTAAGTTTTTCCTAGTTTGCAATTGCCTTAGAAGAGCCAGAACAAATTGATCAAGCAGTTTGCCCCCTCTTGGCTGTTAAGATAAAGGCTTACCATAAGATCCAGAGAGAACAAAATCTTGTCTAGATGGCAGATCAACAAGAAATATCCCTGATACCCTATTTGACCTCCAAAGAAGATTTTACCTGTCTCTTCTCTGGCCCCCATCTCTCGCTACCTTCAGTTGACGCAGCCTGGTGCAGAACATTACACCCCCCACCCACATGCATACATATTCAATATATGTATAATATTACAAACACATTTGCCATTCTACTGGCTCCCATGTGCCACCAAGCCTAGTAGGGATGTATAAACATTTCATTGTGTGCTTTTACCTGTGTGTTTTTGTGCACCTAACAGTCACTGTTACACCTAATGCAGCCTTGAAAAAAAAAGCAAAAATCCTTTGAAAAATTTTGGTGAATTTGGCTACTGACGCGTGCTATCGATGTTGGTGAATTGGGCTGTTGACGCCTGCTGTCGGGGTACAGCATGCTTGCCAAGTATCTAGGGGATCTGAATATGTCAATCCTCCACACATACCCACTGGATTCTCTCTATCCTCTAACAATAGCCTTCCACTCTCATTGGTATGGCACTTACTGATGGTGATTATAATTTGAGTAAAGGACGGCCAACCCAAACAAGAGCACCACTGTACACCACTGTTGATAGTAACAAAGTGAAACGTCTGTTTATAACCACTAACATTGTCTACCAGTACTGTAATACACTGCACCAAGCAAAGTATGATCTTGTACGATCAGTCTCTTTACAAAAATGAATTTGTGATCAGTGACCAACTGTCAGATCTACTACTGCCTTCTAAATACTCACATCGGTAGTCTTTCCAGACGTGGACAATACACCCCAGCGAACTAAGTACCGGGTGACTCACACCCAATCATGCAGATACATTTCTGTGTTGTGCCATGACAGTCTTCTAACGGTTCTTCCTCATGGTAGATGCACCACTTGGTGAAAGAACCCAGACCTCCCGTCTACTGCCCCAGCCACTCATTGAAGTATCACTGACTAACATCCCGTGGCCTCTGATGTCTCCCCATCACAATTCCTCGTTGGTCAACACAAAGTTCTCCAGCACCTTCTGTGCACTTAAGGATACTAGTTAACTAATATCACATAGCCCCAACCGTGCCGACCCCACACACATGGCCATTCAGGAAATCACACTGACAGAATTCCAACGTCCGTCTCATAATCCACCACAATCATCCAGACAGTTCCCACGAGCTCCACAGAATAAAACGTTGCAAAAACAGTCAATACATCCACTGGACTAGACCCATTCACACGCATGTCCATAAACTTAGGCGAACTGAAAGAACTGACTGACTCAAACTACCACGGGACTTTACCCACCTGCAGTCAGTTCCGTATGGATCTCACTTTTTTGCCAACACTCGGGGTTCACAGCCCACATATATTGGCTCAAACAGATCCCACAATATCTGTGATTACCTCAAGTTCGTCATGAGCTTCAAGGCACTCACGTTTTCCTCAGTGGCTCATGCTCCACTCTCTTCCAGCGGCCCCAAATGTCCACATTGCCAACCCGTCAACCCAACATGAATGCCAGTGTGTACCCTGCTTTACACAGCCCTGTTTTCGTTAACTCTTTATACATCACAGTAAATTTCGCACACAGCAGCTATGACTAATTTATTCTTCTTCTTAAAGTCTATGCCATGTGGCATTGGTAGACATGTCTGTCCACAACCTTCTGTCTCACGTACTTTCAGTTAGCTTTGACACAGATGATCTTTTGTGCCATGATGTTAGAAATTCCAGCATCGTCTCTTTCGGTCTCCCTCTGCCTCTCTTCCCCTCCTGCTTTCCCACCGTCATGTTTACTCCAGCTTTCTGCTTCTCGTGACATGACCAAAGATTGTCTTCTTCTGATGTAGGCAATCAGTTCGTGAGTCAGTTAATTTCAAGACACCTTCATTACTCTTTTTAATCTGTTCCGGTTATTCGCATCATACATGATAAAACCTCGTCTCCGCAGCTTGTAAATAATTTTCCACTAATCTGCCAACTGTCTATGATAGGATAATACTTCAGGGAAGAGTTTATGTTGCTTTTAAGAATTATCTTTCTCGCGTTTCAGTTGACAAAGAAAGATTGCATAAAATATTCTATAAACTAATTTAATACTCTTAATATCTTAATGATTTTTTTGTAATGTCTTTCAGAAAATTCCGGCAGGATTCAAGTATGACAGAGATGCCTTTTCCAGAGATTCAGATGACACCGGCTGAAATAGAGTGTATTTTATCCACAGCTGCTGACCTTGATATGAGTGTGAAAAAGAAAGGAACGGTGCGTATCCATGTTTTTTAATTTTTTTAGTTTCTTCTTCTGCGTTTATCCGAAGATGTAATTGCATTGTGCCCGTTTACAGCCTGGCTGCGATATTTGCACCTTTTGGCCGACACATTTGACTTCTGCAGACATTGATGACTGGGTTAGTCTTCCTGAGTTTTTTTCAATATTGCAAATTAAAAAAAGAAAGGTATGTTATCACTGTTCGCTTCACTGCCCATTGGGGATTCCCATGCATACACACTCCTCCAATTCAGCAGCTGCTCTAAGATACCTCTACTGATTATTCCAATGAGAAGTTGTTTAAAGTGTCTCCTGTCTTGGCCTCGAAGATGGCATATATGTGCTTCATCAAGCTTCACTCCCAGGTCATGTTATCATGTTAGCCTCAGAGATTTATCATTATCCCTAGTCTGCAAAACATTGATGATATCAGCTGTGTCCATGCTTCTTCTCATGTGCATTGGTGCATTTTTTGCCGGCTCGTCCATGGGGGGGGGGGGGGGGGGAGAGGACCTCTTTTCATGCTTTTTTGGCACATAAGTCTTCTAGGGCTAGACCAGTTGGCACTTGATGGGTGTCATAGTTAGCTGCAACATATCGGCCACCTTTACTTTCCATGACATCTCCTGGTACCCATTATAGGTTGGGTCAATCTGGGAGTGGCTAGCCGCTAGGCCACTGAGACTCCCAGTTGTACCGCTAGTACTGTGTCATATCACCACCATCATCATCAACATATGCTGTGCCAACAAGTGCAGTCAAAGTTTGCCATTTCACATGATTACCAGAATCAGGGATCTCTGCCCAAGTCATGTGGCCAAACCATTCAGGTATTTATTTGAGTTGTGAGTTTGATAGCGATTATCTTCATGGCACTTCGGACATGTCCATAGGCGAGTTCCACACCGATCGCCAAAAAACAGCCGGAAGACATGGCTGCCCAATCAAACTCACCAGGAGGGAGTCTGGTTATTTGTCATCTTGCTCTTTTTTCCCCATCAAGTTTATTCGTAGTCACTAGCTACCAAGTTTATTTCACTTTCACGCATCTCCAATAAAGATTAATATTCTTCAGAACAGAAATGTATAAAAATCATTTGTAGCGTTGTAAAGGAAAGTTAAGGCTGCTGTGATGGCCATGAGGGGTTTTCCGTACCTCACCCTTGGCACCAGCAGGCTCTATGCTGGTTTTACGGACCTGACTCCTGCCACGCATCCTCATCCTGCGCTACGGACAATGGCTGACATGGACCCAAGCCTAACTGGACGGGGATCTCGGAGATGGTGGCTCCCAGAGATGCAGTGTCTAGAAATCCTATAGCTCTTATCAGCCCACCCTATGCATAGTTGATAACGATCTTCACAAATTCATTTGGAACATGAGGGAAGTCTGCTGGCTGAATATCTTACTATATGACACACCTTGGCTCAAACGTCTGATACAGTGCTGATTAGACCTAAATGTTCGTCAGGATGCTGTTATCAGCGGAGCAGCCACCTCACTGTGGACCGTTGAGACTCAGCCCAAGACCAGTGAGGTTAGTAACAGCTTAGAAGACCAACATCTGCTTGCCATTTCTCGTGGTTATGTCTGGACCTATTGAGAAAGCCATGCCTGATATATGTTTTTCCTATGCTAACGTGCTAAGTGTTCTCATGCAGCAGTGTTAAATTGTCTAACATGCTGAAGAAGATTGTGCCCATTTGTGTGATCAACGAAGTCCCAGACCTGCGGGCTGCTGCCTGTTGATCTCCGGAGGGTGCAGCCCATGATGGGGGGGAAGCTCAACGTAAGGATGTAAGTCATGTGCAGGACGTGATGATTTCTTGGGTGCTCCCAGGACCAGAGCATCATGAGGCTGTGCATTTATGAAAGCCTTTTCGGATGTCGGGAAATGCCCATAATCTGCCCCTGCCCTCTTGCCTTGAGGGCTAAACAGTCTACATGAAGTCGCCATGGATGGGTTCTCCATGGGGGCAACACCGGTAGATAGACAAAAAGGACACCAACAGAAATAAGGCTACGTCATGTCCCACGAAACCAACTGGGAATGTTAATCTGGTGAAGAAGTGTTTGATGAAGCTGGATGTGTCGACCGAAAAGGCACTTTCCATACCGTTGTCAAAGTTTTGTGCAAAATGGTCTTCTGCAAAATTTCCTGCAGTTGAATGGAACTGGGTATTTTGAATTCACAAACTGTGTTCATTCATAACCCCTAAGATAGATGCCAGCTAGGCTGCAATATCTGTGCCTTTCAGCCCAACACATCCAGTTTTCCTCAAACCCTTAGTCACCATTTATAACATGCTTTCTTTTTAACGAACAAATACTGCCTCTAAAGCCCACATTATGACAACAAAAATTTCTTCTCCACAGGGAAGTGCTGTACGGTACGAGGTCTACAAAAAGAGTCCACAACCAGAGTGTAACCAGAAATAACCTGAATTTATTAGTCTGGTTTCATTAAAGCTTGTAAAATAGAATTGAATTAAGTTGAGTTGAGTTGAGCTGAGTTAAGTCCAGAATTGACATCGCAGCACTCGGGGCATTCCCATAAGCTCTCCATCCCCATCTTTAGCGGCCAGATTTCTACTTCTGATGGGACCACATGCGGTCTGATTGTATATCTGTCTAGTCTTTCCTGATTCGTCTAGTCTCTGGAGTTTTGCCAAACATCAGATCACTACCAGGCAACACAATTTACAGCAGCGGACATCTTTTTGTTTAAATCACTGTTCCACTGTTTTAGACAGTGGAAGCAGAATTACAGCATGGATTACAGTCTTGCCATGTAATATTCTCCATAAAAACTTGGCACACTGGGTCCAAGCCTTAATGGTGAAGATGATAGACAATTTAATTTAATAGATGATCATGTATTGATTGCAGTTGTTTATGTTTCACCGGCTGTAAACTCCAGTAGACATTCCTGGTTGTTCGTCCATTTTGGGCTTTAGCTTTGTCCCAGTACCTGAGTTTTGCCTGTGCATCTGTTTTACAGATCTAGCTGATTTGTATGCAGACTGTTGGTTCCTTCCTCTCAGTTAGATGCACTCCGACTTCGAAGGAAACACCCCTAATTAGTCGCCTTCACAACATGCTTGTTTGGGGGCAGTGGGTCTGTTCTTGTTGCCCCCCAAATTGTGGCCCAGAGAACCCACACGGGGCAGTGGGTCTGTTCTTGTTGCCCCCCAATTGTAGCCCAGAGAACCCACACGGGGCAGTGGGTCTGTTCTTGTTGCCCCCAAATTGTGGCCCAGAGAACCCACACGGGGCAGTGGGTCTGTTCTTGTTGCCCCCCCAAATTGTGGCCCAGGGAACCCACACGGGGAAGTGAGTGCGGTAACCAAGTATATTTGCTAGATATTACTTCTTCTTCCCGTTCACTGGCTGTAAACTCTGGTAGAAATTTCTGTTGTCCTCGCCTTCTGGATCTAGTCCTGTTCCAGAAACTGAGCGTTGCATACCCATTCGTTTCACAGGTCTGACTCATTTACACGCAGACTGTTGGTCCCTTGCCTCTCAGGCACATGTACTCTGATTTCAAAGGAAGCTCCCAATTAGTCGACTCTTATGACATGCTTTTTTCTGTGAGTCTATTCTTGTTTTCCCCCAGAACCCACACGGGGAGTAATAATTACCTCAAAGGGATGCTTTCTTTCAATGAAAAGTTTAAGACGTATTATTGAGGCTATGTTTCAACTTGTAACACAGATTTTGTACATGAACATTCATTTCTTGCTTGTGTTAATGAACATTGATTCATTTCTTGTTTTTTATGATAAAGACATTATTATTTATTTCATTTCCTGTTTTTGTTTTTCAAAAATTCAATAAATATTAAAATACTTTTGCTGTTGCTGTTTACTCTGTTACTATATGTATTTAAACTTTTTTCTTTCCCAATTTAGAGAAGTCTTAAATTTAGATTTCCAGTAAACCTGCAAATAAGATTTTTTTTTGGTCAGGCATGAAACTAACACTCTGCACGTAATATGTTTTTTTTTTCTTCAAAGATCTGCATGCAGAATTCAAGTCCTGGAACAAGATCAAAATCTAGACGCAGACAACCAAACAAAACTTTCTGCTGAAGTTCACAGCTGGTGACAGAAAAAAAATTGAATAAAAAATGTTTTTTTTTTTTTTTCATATTTCACCATAAAGTTTAGTGCATTATAAATGTGCACACAGATTAATGCGAGTGAAAGTTCAGATGCAAGAAGCTTTTTTGCTGCACATGTTAGTAATTATTGTCTAGAATATTAACACAGTAGTAAAATAAACAGATTAAAACTACTCTCATTATCATCACCCCGTAACACTGCGTATCGTCAGGTCACCAGCTGCTGTTGACTATCTGATTAGCTCCCTCCACTGTTGACGGTCAGATGCGGTGGACTTCATGGTTGTATGCCTAGGGCCTGTCCAGCCAGTCAAGTTCTGTATCCAGGTCTTTCTTGGTCTGCCTCTTCTCCTCTTAATTCTGCTAAGCCCTGTATTATTTTGTTTTTCATTACATGCCTGTACCACTGCATTTTCTATCTTCTCACAATAGTTAAAACTACAATGATTTGAGAAATTAGAAGCAGAAGTCAAGATTTTTTGGTATATCTGTCTAGATTTCGTAGGGAATTTCCCGGGACACTCTTATAGTCTAGGGGTGTCATGTATTGCCTGTTTTAAACGGTTTAAGCACATTCACCACCCTGACGGCAGCCACCGCCAACGAGCGTAAAAATACAAAAACATCAATGATTCAATACTCGCAAGCATTTGCACCTTCAGCACTTCTCCCTGCAATACTTCTTACTTCTACACAGGCGCCTGAGACCTACTAACCACAACACATTCCAAAAGTAAATCGTTTAAAAAAAAAACAGAAAGCTGCGTTCTTTCATTTGCAAGACAGAATGTCAACCATGTCATGAGCACGAGCCACTTTTTCTCGCTGTGTATAGATGACGAAAGAAGACATTTTATAATACCCCTAGAACATTGGACAGCCCTGTGGGAACCGCTATTAAAACTCAAGGCCACCAAGAGTAGTACTGTTTTGTTTTTTAAAGGCATGAGAAGGAATCATCTTGAACATTTTGTGACAACTGGCAAGCTTGTTGGAAAGGGAATGTAGAGCTGGTAAACCCCATGTGGTAGTAAACCTGGACCATAGCTCATGCTAGACATCTATCTACACCTCTCCACAGTCATACTAGAAACAGGTTCCCTACTGCAGGCCAAGCCAAGATAGATAATATCATTTTCTTTGAAGTCAGAATGCAACTGCCTTAAGGTCAAGGAACCAACAATCTGCCCACAAATAAGCCAGATCTGTAAAACAGATATGCATGCACCTCAAGCACTTATTTATTTAGAGGACTTAACATCCACCAGAGTGTAACCTGATATCCCTGTGTTAAGATCCTTGTTGTTCGCTGCCTTTTTCTGGTCAGTATTTATTTCTGATTGCCACACACATGTCAGAGATTCTACTGGCTGGACAGAAATATGATTTCTTTCAGAGATACATCGGCTAAGTGATTTTATGTATTTTTTCGTGCTTGTATAGTAGATTCATGTAATGTGCTGATGAAGGCTTTATAGCCATAATGTTCTTTTGGGTTTGTAATATTGTGAAGCTGATTGGTCCTACTGTTTCCGTTTGTTTTGATATCCTTTCATGCACCACACAAGTCCTGGAAAACTAAAGTTCAAAAGTCGATGAACAACCAGGTCTTTCTTTTTCCCGGGTTTACAACTGATGAAAGCTAAGAAAAAAGTCAGGCAAAGTAAAGACAACAGAAAAACTAGATGACTTTGATATGACAAAAACAATGACCTGATCTGTGCCATCAGCTGGGAATGTCTGATAGCAAATTATGGTTGCCTAAACTTATTGGCACGTCTCCTGGTGATGATTGTGTGAAGTGCTGAGCCATGGCTGCAAGTGCTTATCACCACGGCACTTGATGATATAATGGATCAGGTGACCATGAAGGAGATTTCGCAATACAGAATGCAGTTCAAAACATTGCACTGGACTGAACGTGCCTGACATGAAAGGCAGCACAGAAAGATGAATGATGACGATAAATATAGTGGTCACTATTCACAGAGTATGTGCATGCACAAGAAGGGAATTAGAATTGTATTGCCTCAAGATAATCTACATCTCACTGCAGATGCCTGCTGTCTTTTTTTTAATGTAACTTTGTTCAAGATTTCTGTTCATTCTGAGATCGTCTTTGCACATCCGGCATGTCACTAGATGCAATTATATTATAATCATAGTTTAAATAATTTTCATTGGATTGAACGTCATGAATCAACCGGGCTACGTGCGATAGTGAACTGGCTCCGACATTATTTTAGTTAAGGCTGAGTTAAATTGCTGATTTCACCGTCAGCCGATAACCAAAATGGCTGATTTACCCGTCAGCCAAATGGTTAACTTACTCATCAACCAAATAGCCGAGTTAGTTACCCGTCATCCAAATGGCCTGGTTAGTTACCCGTCAGCCAAATGACAGTTAACTGTCAGCCAAATGGCCTAGTTAGTTACCCGTCATCCAAATGGCCTGGTTAGTTACCCGTCAGCCAAATGACAGTTAACTGTCAGCCAAATGGTTGACTTAAGCATCACTCAAATGGCTGAGTTACCCTTTAACCAAATCGCATAGTTACCCATCAGCTAAAAGGCTGAGTTACCCGTCAGCTAAATGGTTGCCGCCCCGTCAGCCAAATGGCCGAGTTACTCCCTCAGCCAAATAGCCGAGTTAGTTACCCATCGGCCAAATGGCCGAGTTACCCGTCAGCCAATTAGTTGACTTACCCGTCAGTCAAATGGCCGAGTTACCCATCTAATAACCCAGTTAGTTACCTGTAAGTCAAATGGCCGAGTTACCCATCAGACGAATAGCTCAGTTAGTTACCCGTCAGCCAAATGGCCGAGTTAGTTACTAGGCAATTATATGAAATTTCTTGTCCCCTTAGTGAAATGTTCATTGCTTGCAGCTCCAGTCTGCAGCTCCATATCCTTCAGCCTTGACAAGGATATGGAGTCATGCCCTTTAGCGTATTTATCATTGCGGTAAGTGTGGCGAATTGCATTGATAATATCGCTTCTGTCCAGTACCTGACCAGTCATAGCAACCACAATGTCTGCAAAGATACTCTGCACGCTCGTTCCGTTGAACATCCGCATCACCTGGCACAAAGATGAAGGTAGGGCAGCCATTCGCGAAGTGTTTAGTGTTGCAATCCATTCTTGTCTGATAAACCAAGCCTGGATTATTTGTTAGCAAATTAATGATGAGAATACAGGGAGAAATGGTTATATTGCACTGTGCAAAGAGGGAGCCATCCTAACAAGAAAACAGGCAGCTGACCACTTTGCAGATTCCTTTGCAGAAGACAGCAACATTAATGTCAGCCCAGAGAAA